CTGGAGAGATGGCTCAGCAGTTAATAGCATTTGCTGTTCTTCCAGAGGACCAGGGTTTGATTCCCAGCATCCACATGGTGGCTAACAACCATCCATAATTCTAGTTCCAGGGAATCTGACACTCTTCTGGTTTCTGTGGGGCATTGCATGTATGTGGTGCACTCGCACACATGCAGGCAAAAACACCCATACACATAAAATTAAAATAAATAAAATATCTTAAAATTGAATCCTCACATTCCCCTGAGAAGGAAGCCATTTCTGCATCCCCTTTAACCACATTTGGTTTCCTACAGGTCACCACAAATGGCATCATTGCTATGAGTGAACCCCCCGCCAGAGAATCCCATCCTGGAGTCTTCCCACCCACCTTCGGCTCAGTGGCACCTTTCCTGGCTGACTTGGATACAACAGATGGCCTTGGGAACGTGTATTACCGAGAAGATTTGTCCCCCTCCATCAGTCAGCTGGCAGCGGAGTATATCCAGAGGGGGTTCCCAGAGGTCTCTTTCCAGCCCAGTAGTGTGGTGGTTGTCACTTGGGAATCCGTAGCCCCCTACCAAGGGCCCAGCGGGAGCCCTGCCCAGGAAGGCCAGGTGAGTGTACCCACATCCAGATGCAGACTTCTTTGTACTCTTTGGGCTTCTGGTTTGTGCTGCCCAGTGGACACCATGCCTGTGTTATTGCACAAGACAGGAAATCTAGAAAGCATGTTGTCACAGCCCAAGGAGGGCACCTCTGTGGGTGCAGTGGTCAGGAAAAATTTGGAGCTTAGATGTGCCATTGTGCCTGAGGAGGCCAAGAAACCGTCACCAGAGGGCATATGGCCTTAAAACTACATACCAGACAGGCCCCAACCTTTTGAACATGACTCTTCCCCATTACAGTCTCCAAATAGAACACATCGCATTCTTCAGAACACACTTTGGAAAAGTCTATTAGGGCTCTGCATGTCACATTTTGTTTCGCAATACTTGGGAGGGAACTCCTTACAACTCATAAATGCAGAGCCCTGGCCTGCCTCTTGAGTCGAATCTGTTAAACCTCCGCATATCTTTCCAGCATTTGTACCAAACTATTACATTTGCAAGCCCTTGATCGTTACCTTTTTAAAAAATCCACCATAGGGGCTGGAGAGATGGCTCAGCGGTTAAGAGCACTGATTGCTCTTACAGAGGACCTAAGTTCAATTCCCAGCACCCATCCTTAGCTACAAACCATCCTTAACTACAAACCATCCTTAACTACAGTTCCAAAGGAATCCAAAGCCCTTTTCTGACCTCCATGGCATCGCATGACATGGGTTCACTCACATACATGCAGGCAATACACTCATACACATAAAATAAAAATAGGGGGCTGGAGAGATGGCTCAGTGATTAAGAACACTGGTTGTTCTTGAAGAAGACCTGGGTTCGAATCCCAGCACCCACATGGCAGCTAACAACTGTCCATAACTCCAGTTCCAGGGGATTTAACACCCTCTTCTGTCCTCCTCCGGCATTGCACGACTCAGGTGCACTTACCTACATGCAGGCAATACACGCTTACACATAAAATTAAAAATAAATAAATTATTTTTAAAAATCCACCATATCTTGTACATGGTGTCCTTTCTCCTTGAAATGTTCTCCTTTACCTCTTTGCTCATGCTGTTCTGTGAAGCCTTGGCCAGTCAGGGCCTCATCCACCTGACACACCCAGCCCTGGACACGCTCTCATTTGACCCCTACATACAGCATTCTACAAGCTTCTCTGTTATAGCACCTATCCTCAGGCTAGGCAGTATTTTGAACACCTATCCAGGGATCCATGTAGACTTTGCAGTCTCAGTTGTAAGACCTAAGTATTTTTCCCTTTGTAGCTGCAGAGCTCAGGGCAACATCTAGCAATGTGTAGAAGGGACACCAATGTTTAAGCAGCGCTTTCCTGCATCTGGCCTTTTAAAAGTTGCCTCAGGTAGGCAGGCTTCTCTGAAGCAGCCAGATCTTTTAGTTTACAGATGCAAACACACTAAGAGCATAAATATTGTGCTCAAGGTCATAGTTCCAATAATGAGCATGATCTGGGAACAGCTCTGTGTTCTTCTAAGGCTCATGTCTGTATTGCTGTGTGGTGGCTGAGTGTGTTCATTAACTCTCCGCTAAATGCTGAGTGTGGCTGAAAATGTTTAGTAGTGATGGAAAAATTCTGTGGTAAGGATTCCCCAAGTGATATGAATTTCAAGCCATGTCTGATGGTATAGTGTGGCTGAAAATGTTTAGTAGTGATGGAAAAATTCTGTGGTAAGGATTCGACATCTGTGTAGTATTTGGTCAGCCTCAAGGTCAGAATTATGAGCATGTATTTGCTAATTAATCAGGAAATTTCACGTTGACTTTTCTTTAGGGATTTCAGTGACTCTGTGCTGGAAAACTTGACTCTATTTATTTTACTTTGTTTGAAACAAGGTCTCCCTGTGTAGCTCTGACTGATCTGGAGCTGGCAATGTAGGCCAGGCTGCCCTCAAATTCAGAGAGATCCACCTGCCCCCCCGCCCCCCCCCCAGTGCTGGGATTAAAGGCATGCACTACTGTACCTAGTTTCAGAGCATCTCAGTCCTTTGCAGTGGGGATGTGGTGGTGGAGGCTGTAGCGGTGGAAGTGGGTAACGGTGGCTCCTAAGGAAGAGGAGCACCTGGTTCTTCAGAATAAGGTGGAGCACTTGCTGTCCACTGCACTTTCTCTATCAAGGGTGATGAACAGCTCATTTTGAGAGTATAGTTATATTGCTACATGACTGACTTTTAACTCATCTTCACAGAGAAATACGTTCCAGGCTGTCCTGGCCTCCTCGAATTCCAGCTCCTATGCTATTTTCCTTTACCCTGAAGATGGTCTTCAGTTCTCTACAACATTCTCCAAGAAGGAAGGAAACCAAGTGCCGGCCATAGTTGGGTTCAGTCAAGGTCTAGTGGGATTCCTATGGAGGACTGATGGAGCGTACAACGTCTTTGCCAATGACAGAGAATCGATTGAGAATTTGGCCAAGTATGCTCAGTGTTTTGCTGTTTATCTTCATTATATTTCCCCTCTAATCATATTATTGAATATTGTTATACTAAGCAGAATATAACGAACTTTATAGATCATTACCTAAAAATGTTCCCATGCATTTGAATCTTAAATGTATATATTTAAATTATGAAATAGTGTTTTCTGATAAGCTTAAGAGAATATATTTGTTGTGAAGAGATAGTTTGGATTTTGTAAACAACATCCTCATATAAAACTCCATCGTGTCCCCTGTGAGTCTGAAGTCGGAAATGAAGGTTATTCAAACCTGTCTCCCACCAGGAACCCAAGATTGACAGAACCATTTTTCTCTTCACTGATGCAGGAAGAAAATCTTTACCACACTGATACTCAGTGACGCCAATCCACCACACTGCTGTAGATGTAGCAAAAGGGAGAATAGCCAAGATTAGGATCTCATATAGCCCCAGGTTGCCCTCCAACTCTCAAATAGAGTTTGCATCCTCCTTCCTCCACCTGCGAGGTGCTGGGATCACAGGTGTGATCCACAGACTGCTTTTTAAAGATTAAAATCTTCTCTTCCCATTCTTTTTTAAAATATTTTATTTTTATTATTTTTATCTTATGTGTATGAGTGTATCGCCTGCATGTATGTGAGTGCACCCATGTTGTACAATGCCCTGGAGGTCAGAAGAGGGCTTTGGATTCCCCTGGAACTGGAGTTAAGGACGGTTCGTAGCTGCCATGTGGGTGCTGGGAATCGAACCCAGGTCCTCTGCAAGAGCAGTCAGTGCTCTTAACCGCTGAGCCATCTCTCTAGCCCCTATTTTTTTATTTTATGTATATGAATGTATTGCCCACATGAATGTAAGGGCACCCATGTCCTACAATGCCCGTGGAGGTCAGAAGAGGATGTCAGATCTCCTGGAACTGGAGTCATGGATAGTTGTCAGCCATCATGTGAGTGCTGAGAACCAAACCCAGGTCCCCTGCAAGAATAGCCAGTGCTCTTAACCACTGAGCCATATCTACAGCCCCTCCCCCATTATTTTTTTAACACCCGCCCCCCATTTCACCTTGTCAGATCTAGACTAAAATTCTCCTGCCCTTTGCTGAGTGGTGTCCTGATAAATACTGAATAATTGGCTTGATGAAGAGGCACCTGAGGCATAGCGTTTGCTTCTTCCTGTGGTATAAACATTCCTGCCATGGCCATGTCACTGATATCCTGCTACTCAGTGAAGATTTGGGAAAGGATGTAACAATATATACAGTCTCATCACAAAGTCACAATAGACGAATATGTTAGGAACATGAGCACCAGAAAATGAGTAAGTGTGATGAGTTTCGAATATTTCTTGCCTTTTAAAATAAATAACACCATGCATACTGGGGAGGCAGAAGCAGGCAGATCTCTGAGATTGAGGCCAGCCAGGTCTATATAGCAAATTCCAGGCCAGCTGGGGTTACAGGGAGACCCCGTCTCAAACTCCCCACAAAATAAAAGACAATCAATGTAACTTGTTGTAGGCTTATATAATTTTTTTTTTTTGCAGTACTTTACCAACCCTAGCCAATTTAATTTTCTTACCTTGAACTGTGTTTTATAACTGGCTTGGAAAAGTCCTAAAAATGTATCAACTGGCTCTTCCCAACATGTGATCTGATCATTTTATATAATTTCTAAAAGGAACACTTTTGATCACAGATACATAAAAATAATTAAAATTGTTCAAGTAGGTCAAGAAGTAGAAGTTAGGGTTACCCTACTGAATTTTATGAATGAAATGCCTCAGGGTTTTGAATCTCATTTACTTTCCACAGTATGTGCAGTTTACACACACAGACACAGACACAGACACACACACACACACACACACCCTCTTGAAGGCAAGCGTGTGGGAATTTTCCCTTGCACGAACCAATTCTCCAGTTCTCTAGACACTGGCTGGGTTTCCTATAATTTAGATCAGTTCTGGCAGTAACTAGTTACCTGGAGTCAATGAAGACCCCACAGATATAGGTGCTGGCACCACAAGATGCCCTAACCGCAGATATCAGTCTTCACATCCTGCAGTGCCCCTGTGCTTCTGACCACCCCACTGTAAGTCAGAGGTTTGCATGACCCTGTCCACCCTCAGGCTCAGTAATTTACTAGAACAGCTCATATCAAGAAATCCCCTTGGGGTTGGGGATTTAGCTCAGTGGCAAGCGCAAGGCCCTGGGTTCGGTCCTCAGCTCTAAAAAAAAAAAAAAAAAAAAGAAATCCCCTTAACTTAGTATCTTCAAGTTGTTATAAAGAATAAGTTCACGGGCTAGAGAGATGGTTCAGTGGTTTAAGAGTGCTTGCTGCCATTTCAGAGGACCAGAGTTTGCTTTCCAGTGCCTACATCAGACAGTTCACAACCACCTGTAACTCCAGCTCTAGGAATCCAATACCTTCTTCTGGCTTCTGTGGGCACCTACATGCACACGTACACAGACACACCCACATTCCCCCAATACACATAATTAATAAAATAAATCTTACAATACTTCAGGACTAGAGAGAGCTCAGTTGGTAAAGGACCTGAGCTCTGTTCCCAGAACCCACATAAAAAAGCTGGGCATGATGGTGTCTGCTTGTAAACCCAGCACTAGGGGGGGGTGGGGACAGACTGATCCTGGCGATCTACATAGTGAGATCTAAGCCAACTGAGGCTACAGGGAGACCCTGTCTCAAAAAAAAAAATCTTTTTTTTAAAGAAAGATAAGGCTGGGGTTGGGGATTTAGGTCAGTGGTAGAGCGCCTGCCCAGCAAGCGCAAGGCCCTGGGTTCGGTCCTCAGCTCTGAAAAAAAAAAAAAAAAAGAAATCCCCTTAACTTAGTATCTTCAAGTTGTTATAAAGAATAAGTTCACGGGCTAGAGAGATGGTTCAGTGGTTTAAGAGTGCTTGCTGCCATTTCAGAGGACCAGAGTTTGCTTTCCAGTGCCTACATCAGACAGTTCACAACCACCTGTAACTCCAGCTCTAGGAATCCAATACCTTCTTCTGGCTTCTGTGGGCACCTACATGCACACGTACACAGACACACCCACATTCCCCCAATACACATAATTAATAAAATAAATCTTACAATACTTCAGGACTAGAGAGAGCTCAGTTGGTAAAGGACCTGAGCTCTGTTCCCAGAACCCACATAAAAAAGCTGGGCATGATGGTGTCTGCTTGTAAACCCAGCACTAGGGGGGGGTGGGGACAGACTGATCCTGGCACGAAGCTGGTTAGCCTTGTCTACTTGGTAAGCTCCAGGCCAAAGAGAGACCCTGTCTCAAGAACAAAGTAGATGGCAGCAAAGAATGATACCAAAGGTTGACCTCTGCCTCCCACAAACATGCACAAACCCCTCCTCCACAAAAAGCGAAGAGAAGCAGAGGGCATGGAGGGGTGCTGAGCTTCCCACCCTCCCTTCAGCCCACCTGCCACACATTCCTTTGTTCACCCACCCAGCAGCTTGGAGAGCTGACCTGCCATTCAGAGTTTATATGGAGGTTTCACCGGATGGTATAGTCAATCTCATCGGCCATAGGTGAAGAGCTACATCTGAGGCCCAGCCGTCTCTCCTCCCTGGATGTAGAGATGGGACAGGCTGGAAAGGGACAGAGCCTTCCAACCCTCCTATCGTGGCCAAAGAGAACAGTCTCTAGTCACCTCATTAGCATACAAAGGTCATTTTTATCACATTGGATATTTCAAGGGTGCTGGGAGCTCTTGGGTTAGGCCCCAGGGACAAAGAGCAATTGTATTTTCTGTGTGATACAAGCATGTGTCACACCTGCGATGAGAAAAGAACAGTGGGGAACTGAGTCTGTGTCACCTTAGTTCATAGATGGGGATGTAACCAGCTGATAGTATGATCTGATGGCACTGAGAGTCCTCTGGTGTCCTGGGGGGGCTTGGCAGAGGGTGAGCTCTTCACGACATTACTGAGCCTCACTAAATAGCCCCTGCTTATCTGAGCTCTGTGGTGCCCACACGTGATAGCTGTTGTCCTCCTGTACGTCAGCCCTTGCTGCGGGTAGACACGTGCTATGGATACAGGTTGCCGGTACTCTTCTGCTTGGTTTGTGGGGGCTGCTTGTGCATCGTGGCCTGTTCTCAAGATGCCTTCCTTGCCCCCAGGAGCAGCAACTCGGGGCACCAGGGCATGTGGGTGTTCGAGATTGGGAGCTCAGCCACAGCCTCCGGCGTGGTGCCTGCAGACGTGAACATGAGTCCTGAAGATGATGGAGCAGACTATGAGGAAGATGAAGATTATGACCTGGTCACCCCTCATCTGGGCCTGGATGATGTGGGCACCTCCTCCTTCCCCTACCACAGCCCTAGAAGGGGAGATGCTGACTCACACAACGTGCCCAGGGTTCTCTCCCCTAGTCACCAGGCTACGGAGAGACCCCAGGGAACACCCACCGGGAGAACCAGGTCCTTCCAGTTGCCAGTGGAGAGGTTCCCCCAGCAGCATGCCCAGGTCATTGATGTGGATGAAGTGGAAGAAACAGAAGTTGGTAAGACATTTATGGTACCGTTTGGAACATTTTTGGATGTTCTGGTTTCTAGACATGAGTCATCTGGTGCAATGTGGGCCATGTGCCCCATGTGGTGGCTTTAAGGAAAAGAGCCTGGGGCAGGAGCAGGAGCTGAAGGTTTGCACTGCAGAGTGATTGGACAGCCTGATGGCTTCCAGGCAGCACAGTGATCTTTTGCGGTTAGAGCTTTGGGTCCTGACTCTGGAGTATGCCATGTTTCAAGATTCCTCATAATACATTCTGTTTTAAAGAGAGTCAGGGCCAGTGACAGGTGACTCAGCAGTCAAAGGTGCTTGTTGCCAAGCCTGAGTACCTAGGTTGGATCCCCCTGAACCCACATAGTGGAAGAAGGAGAGACCTGATGCTCTCAAATTGTCCCCTGACTGCTACATGTGCATGCACGCACACACACAAACACACACACACACTTACAATAATAAATAATAACTGTAACTATGCATCCCCAGCTGACCTAAAACTCATAAGGTAGACCAACCAGGCTGGCCTTGATCTCACAGATATATGCCTGCCTCTGCCTCCTGAGTGCTGGAATTAAAGGTGTGTACCTCCACACCTAGATAATAAATTATTTTTTTAATTAAAAAATTATTTCTTTTATGTGTGTGTTTTCCTACATGTATGTAAATGTATCACATGCATGCCATGCCCGAAAAGGCCAGAAAGAGAGTATTGGATCCTTTGGACCTGGAGTTAGTTAACCACCATGTTGGTGCTGGAAACCAAACCTGGGTCCTCTGCAAGAGCAGCCAGTGCTCTTAATGACTGAGTTGTCTCTCCAGCCCCAATAAAATTATTTTGAAATCATTTCTAATTATGTGTGTGTGTACACTCACATGCTGTGCTCATGTGCACATGAGTGCAGGTGCTTGTGGATCCCCTGGAGCTGCAGTTACAGGTGGTTTTGAGCCATTTAACATGGGTGCTGGGAAACAAATTAGAATCCTCTCTGCAAGAGCAGTACCTGGTTTACACCACTGAGCTATTTCTCCAAAATTAAAAAAAAAAGTCATTTCTGAATGTGGTGGCACAGGTCTATTATCCCAGCATCCTAGAGGCCAAGGCAGGAGAACAGGAAGTTCAAGGTCAGCCTGGACTACATAGTTACACAGTGAGTTCCAGGCCAACCTAAGATATAGTGAGAGCCAGAGCATAGGAAGGAGAGGGAGAGAGAGGATTCTGTCTCAGTATCCAAGGGAGTGGGAAGGGAGAGAGGGAGGGAGGAAGAGAGAGAGAGAGAGAGAGAGAGAGAGAGAGAGAGAGAGAGAAAGAGAGAGGAGAGAGAGAGAGAGAGAGAGAGAGAGGAGAGAGAGGAGAGAGAGAAATCCTGCCTTAAAAACCAATGGAATGGAAGGGAGGGAGAAAGAAAGACCAACCGAGAGAGAGAGAGAGAGAGAGAGAGAGAGAGAGAGAGAGAAAGAGAGAGAGATTCCATCTCAAAAACCAAGGGAATGGAAGGGAGGAAGGAAGGGGGGGGAGATCCTGTCTCAAGAACTGAAGGAGGGCCAGAGGGAGGAAGGGTTTTTAGAATTATTTTGGAACTCAAAATAATTATTGTGACTTCTGAGATATATCCCCCACCTGAAAAAACATTCTAGAAGTTATTTTGGCTCTTTATTCAGCTTTTCTTTCACAGTTATTTCCTCTTGGTTTTGTAATTCAGGAGGCTGATTATTTTTCCTCCCAGGTCTTGTCAGTTTAAGAGTTGTTTTCTGAAAATCACCCACAGACACACACACACACACATACATACATACAAATACACACACATACACACACACACACATACATACAAATACACACACATACACACACACACACATACAAATACACACACACATACACACACACACACACAGCAGACCTCCCTTTTAAAACATAGTTTTGCAGTATATCTTCTAATCAGCCATATTATATCAAGTGTTCCTGCACTTGAGGACAATTGCTTGAACAAGATACTTACACAGCTGTGCTCATGCTTTTTCCTTGCGCTGACATACAACCCATTGTGAGGGTCAGTTTTAACTGATGCAACCTAGAATCACCCGGGAAGAGAGTGATGAGGGACTGTCTTCATCAGGGTGGCCTGGGGGACGGGGCACGGACACCACTGTCTTGATTGCCTTAATTGATGTGAGGTGGTCCAGTCTGACAGTGGGTGGCATTGTTACATGGTTTGGGGCCCAGGACTGTTTAGGAGTGAGAAGGCTGAGCACTGAGCATGCATGCATTCATTCCTCTCTGTGGATGTGATATGATTGATTCAGGTTCCTGCCTTGATTTCCCCATAGGGATGGACTGTACCCTGGACCTGTCAGCCACATGAACCCCTTTCTCCTCTACTTTAATTTTTGTCAGGATTGATTGTTTGTTTGTTTGTTTGTTTGAGACAGGGTCTCCCTGTAGCCCCAGGCCTAGAACTCACTATGTAGACCAGGCTGGCCTTGATCTCACAGAGATCAGCCGACCTCTGCCTTCCAAGGACTGGGATTAAAAGTGTGCACCACCATGCCTGGCTTCGTCAGGGCATTTTGTCACAATAGAAATGGACTGGGGCACCATTGTGTCTCACGTAAATGGTATGGCTGAAACCTTTAAATGTTTCTCACAGGACTTTTACTGCTTCTACTAAGAAGCTATGATAAAACTTCCCAGAAACACCCAGTCCAGTCTACTCATTTTATTTCCCCTTCTTTGCTCAAGTCGTCATAACCATCTGTCCTCATTGATTACCCTAAATATGGGTAAGATGGGGTGTTGACGAGGTTGTGTGCTTACTAACTACTAAGGCACAGAAATGAAGAAGGTATCATTTGGTGGAAAGACAAACACATGGGTTCCGGCCTTGTGCCCCCATACACACTGCTCCCTGGATTTGGGGTGAGGGAGGACTGCCTCACGTCTCAACCAGTGACATTTACCATTTGATTTCACTGTCAAGTATATTTACTTATAGGTATTGAGGTTTTTTTCCTACCTTTCTAACTATCTGAAATTCTCATTTACAAAGTTGTCACATTTAAATATTTACTTTTCTTTTCTTTTTTTTTGGTCTTTTTGAGACAGGGTCTCCCTGTAGCCCCAGCTGTCCTGGAACTCACTATGTAGACCAGGCTGGCCTTGAACTCACAGAGATCCGCCTGCCTCTGCCTCCCAAGTGCTGGGATTAAAGGCGTGTGCTACCACACCCGGCTTAAATATTTACTTTTTGTGTATGTGTGTGCCTGCATGAGTTTATGTATACCACATATGTGCAGTGCCCATGGAAGTCAGAAAAGGGCACTGGATCTCCAGAACTGGAGTTACAGGAAGTTGTGAGCCAGTGTGTGGATGCTAGGAACCAAACCCTGGTCTTCTCCAAGAGCAGCCACTGCTCTTAACTGTTGAGCCATCTCTTCAGCCCTAACACTGTCACATTTAAATGAGACCTTGTTTACCACCTGCTCCCCCACAATGAATGATACCAGCAAAAGCCTAGCTTTAAACTAGAAATGTGTCTTTGAGAGATGTTTTTCTGTCCTTATCCCAGTTCACTATGTTATTAGGAAGGTCAGCTGTCTGTGGCCCACAGTCCATTTCTGGTATTGTTTGGATAGTTATCCTCAGCTAGACAGGCCATAGCAGACCTGTAGAGACGGGGACACCCAGGTGGAGCTTAGACAATGTGTCAAGCTCACTCAGGGCCCAGGTGTCCTCAGCTTGGCTCCCTGCCGTCTTTATACACACTGGAAATTCCAAGTAGTTAGAGCTGATAGAATCTACCTGGGGATGAATTTTATTTTGATCTTCACTCATAAAGTCAATTATAAATGGTATCATTAGCATGTCAAGAAGTTCACCCCTCTAGTTATTTTGAACTTCAGTCCAAATGAATTTGCTCTAAGCCAGATCATTAAATTTAATGGGTGGGTTTGTGAGTCTAATAAAACAAACATGGATGGTGGAGATTTGAACTAGATTCTTCTTGATTTTGGGGTCAAAGCTTTCAGAAGAGGTAAAATGGAAGGATTATTTCTGATTGGCTTTTGAGTATCAGAGCCTCAGAATTATTCCTGGAGGCAAAGAGAGGTTGAAATATATATATATATATAATCACCATCCCCACAAAAATTAAAGAAAAAAAAAAAGACTGTGGGGCTGGGGCTGAGGATGTAGCTCAGTTTGTAGAGTGTTTACTTACCATGCACGAAGCCCTGAGCATGGTGGCATGTAATACCAGCTCTCTGGAGGTGGAGATTGGAGGAGCAGGAGTTCAAGGGCCATCCTACTTATATAGTGAGTTTGAGGGCAGCTTGGGATACATGAGACCCTGTCTCTGAGAAAATGGGGCATAAAAATATATTTGGAGACTCCCCACCCAAATATGAATATTAGCTGGACATCATGCTAGGATTGACATTGGCTGGTAGTACCCTAATATTGATCAGCATTGAATACACTGTATTGTAGCAGTTTTTTGATTGATTTATTTTTTAAGTGTATGAGTATTATAACAGCGTGTGTGTAAGTGCAACTGTGTCATGCAGTGCTCACGGAGGAAAGAAGAATGTGTCGGATCCCCTGGAACTGGAGTTACGGACAGTTGTTAGCCGCCATGTGCGTGCTGGGATTCGAACCTGGGTGTTCTGCAAGAACAGCCAGTGCTCTTAAATACTGGACCATCTCTCCAGCCTCAGATAATGCTCTTGAACATGAAGGTTTAATACTCTAATGACGTGTAAATTTCTATCATCTATTTCTGAGGAGGTACTTATCTCTCTTCCTTTCTGTGTTCCTCTCTCTCTTTCTGCTCTCTCTTTTTATCTTCAGCTGGGCTTCTAACAAATGGTGCTTGATGGTGGCTGCTTCATTGTAACATATGCATACTGAGTTAACAAGTAGTTCACTAATTGAGATGTCGAGTGGTCTGAGTTAATGGGACCCCTTTTCCATCCAAGTATCCGAATGGTCACACGGTGGATTTCAGTCTGCTGTGGCTGCCCTGGCCCCTTGAAGGCTTAGGCAGATGTGAGTCCTGTGGGGCTCAAGGGAGTCAGTGTGGAAACACCTCCCATCAGAGAGCAGTGCAACGCACTTACAGGTGCATTTCCATTTTCTCAAAACAGTGTTCAGCTACAACACAGATTCCCGGCAGACGTGTGCGAACAACAGGCACCAATGCTCAGTGCACGCAGAGTGCAGAGACTACGCCACTGGCTTCTGCTGCAGGTGCGTGACGGGCTACACAGGCAACGGCAGGCAGTGTGTGGCAGAAGGTAATGTACTTTTCTATGCACTTTCAGCTTCAGGGAGAAGGAAAAAGAATGATTTGGAGGCATTGGTGCCTGTGTGTAAATGTGGCTTTTGCCGTGATCTCTGGAATGTGTAGCTGTTAAGTGTTGTGTCACCTCTTGCCCCTAACCCTTTCTCACATTCTCTGGTGGCCGTTCCTCCTAGGATGTCTGTTGTTTTGTTTTGTTTTGATATGGCACAGTCTCTTTTTCCTCCCACTTCTCCGTCTCTAAGGAGACAGCCACTGGGAGCCTTTCTTCGTAGCTGCTTCCTGCATACAACAGAAAGACCCAACTTGGAATGATGCAGTCTGGACCAGGAGTTGCTTGCCCCTCGTTTTCCCTCACACCTGACTCATAGCTTGTCTTTGGAGTCCTTTCAATTTGTTTCTTTGCTTGTTTGTTCTGAGTCAGGATCACACTATGGAGCTCTGGCTGGCCTCTGGCTCCCAAGTGCTGGGATTAAAGGCCTGTTTCACCACTTTTGACTTTTTGGTTTTTTTTTTTTTTTTAATGTGTATGAGTGTTTTACCTGCATGTATGTAAGAGCGCTTGTGTGGGAAATGCCTGAGGAGTCCAGAAGAAGGTATTGGATTCTCTGGAACTGGAGTTACAGATGGTTGTTAGCCACCATGTGGGTCCTGGGAACCAAACCTGGGTCCTTTGCAAGGGGAGCCAGTGCTCTTAACTGCTGAGCCATCTCTCCAACCCATGGTTGATTGGTTTTTGGTTTTTAAATTTTGTTTTTATTGAATTTTTGTATATTTCATACAGAACATCTCAAACAATCTTAATCATCTTTATACCCTCATCCCCACCTGCACCCTCCCATAGCCCCCCACTGGAACCCATATACTTTGTCATCCCAGTTAAGGCCCAATGTGTCAAGTCAGTGTTTCCAGACATTCCCCAGTGCCAGTCCATCCACTGAGGTTTAGTCAGCCTATCCAAAGTGCCTTGTTTTAGGAAGATCAGCTCTTCCTCACCTAACATTAATCAGCTGCCAATGTTTCTTCAGCTAAGATTGGGGTCTGCTGTTCATTTCCCCAGCTCTCTGCTGGGTTTTTGTTTGCCTGAGTTTACATGTGACTTGTGCATGCTGACACCATTGTCATAGAATCATATGAGCAGGGTCCCAGGAGCTTGTAGGACTCTTTTTCCATATGGTCCTCCACCTCCCCCCTGGCTCTTACAATCTTTCTGCCCCTCTTCTGTGATGGTCCCTGAGCCCTGGGTGGGTGAAGTTTAATATAGGAGGCCTGTCCAAGGACCAGCATTCTGCAGACTCTTAATCTCTAGGCTTTGGCCATTTGTGACCTTTTGTGTTCCTGGCCCTCTGTTGCATGAGGGAGCTTCATTAATGAGAAATGAGAGATTCATTAGTGTCCTCCTCTTTACCCCTGTTCTATGTTCTGTGAGCCTTAGGTGTAGACATTGCATTGTAGATGTGTCACTTAGGCCTGGGCAATACATAGACAATATCTATGTATGACCAGTTGTAGTACTTGGTAATAGTCTCTGACTGGTACAAAACAAGCTTCTTTGATGAGAGGTGACTGGGATATTTGTCTGTAAATATGAGGTTACATAATTTGCACATAGTAAGAAATTACATTAGTCTAGAGATGTGACAGTCTTGGGATTTTCTCTAAGATCTATGACCACTCCAGCCATGTGTATTTGGCTATGTTTACAGTACCAACTTGAGTTTCCTCCCATTGAGTGGACTTTTAGTCCAATTAGGTAGCTGTTGATTGCCTCCAAGATAAAAGTGCCACTACTGCACCAATGACCTATGCTGTGCTGGCGGTTGATGTGGTTATGTGGTCTTGAAGCTGGTGTTGGATCATCCATTGATGTTTTCCCTTGGCACCTTCACAGTGCTCTCCAAAACTATAAGAGCTAGGCTTTGGGGAAAGTGGTTTCAGGTCAATCCAGCTCTATTGCTCCAAATCCTGTGTCCAAAGAATGTTCTGTCTTCAGCAATAGGGTCTTACCTTCAAGTTCTGGGAGGTCATCAAGGGCTGTGGCAAAAACCTGAGTAATTTTGGGAGTCTCTTGGACCACCCTGGCCAAGAACTCAAAGGAAGGTTTCTCCTGTCTGGCCCTATTCTTGTTATGTAGCCTTTAGCTATACACATGGGCTCGTGTAGAGATACTGTATGTGTAATTTGTCATTAAGTTGTTGGACTAATATGACTCCCTCTGGTTTTTTAAAACTATCTAGGCATTATTTATCTCTGCTCTCTCTCTCCCTGTCTAACCCATTCACTATGGTTTCCCCATTTAAAATGTCCCCATTTTCCCCATTTCTCCTTGATATTATCAGCTATTACCAGCTGTTCAGACATATTTTGACATAGTGTACACTCTCTTGAGCTTCTTCTTTTCCTTTATCCCCAAGGTTCCTTGTATAACCCTCCCTGCCCCCTCCCATTTAAGTAGCCCCATTTTTATCCATTTCTCCCTTAGTAACACCTGTCTCCTACTGTTCTTTCTCAGGTTGATTGTTTTTGAGACAAGGGCTTGCTCTATAGCCTAGGTTGACCTCAAACTTGAGATTCTCCTGCCAGAACACCTAGAGTGTACAACCACACCCAGTTTGAGTCTCTTAGTCCAAATGCATTACCCCATCTCCTCCCTTATCTGCCCTGCCCCCACCTCGGACTGGAGATTGGACCCCAGGGCCTCATACATGCTAGGCAAATGCTCTATTGCTGAGATACATCCCCAGCCCTTTCTACTTTATTTGGAGACAGGGTCTCACTAACTTGCCCAGGACAATCTTGAATTTACACCATAGCTTAGATGCACCCTGACCTTGCTATCCTGCTGCCTCACTGCCTGAGTAGCTGTGAAGGCAGGCCTGTGCCATCAGGCCCAGCTTGACCTAACTTTGAAAGGTCGTTAAACCCAGCTGGTTTAGGCAAGAGTAGGGAGTGGGTCCAGTTTATTCTAGCTGTTTCTAGTCTGTTTCTCTTTCCTCATGCCCCTGAAATCTCAGCACGGCTGAGATGAGCTTGAGGGTGTATTGTCCTCTGTCCTAGAATGTCAAACCCATTATACATCCACCTCCAAAGTAGATTCTGTGATGGCCAAAGTCTGCTCTGACCCCTGTCCCCGAAGGACTGGCCAGTCCCTGTGCCCAGATGGTCAGAGGTATCTTCCTTGTAAGTCTAAGCATCCTTGTCATAGTCATCAGAGAGAGGCATTTGGGGCCATAAACCAGGATGAACACAAAATAACAGAACCCTACTATATGAGGTCTCTGTCCCTTCAGATGCCACCAAATCACCTCACTTGTCACAGGCTGCTTCCTGTGTGCCTAACTGGGGTGGGACACTTCAGTTGCTTTGCAAAATCTAATTGAAAATTTGTTTTCTGGATTCCTTGTCATAGCCATCCTTAAATCAGTTGTTGTTTTAATTTGCCAAAAAATAAAAAAAAAACCTTTCCTTCTGGGTCATAATTAAAGTGAGGTTGATTTGTGTGTGTGTATGTATGTGTGTGTGTGTGTGTGTGTGTGTGTGCGTGTGTGTGTTTTTATCTACCTTTAGCAACAAATCAATGTGCAGCATAGTTGTATTAATTTAATTTGGGGGACTATTTTTAACTTTAAAGGGTTTTCTGGTTTCTTCCAGATCGCATCACCCCAGGGATGGCATGTCTTTGAGTCTTTGTTCTAGGCTTGGCTTTTATACCCCTCCACCCTAGGAGAAGCTTCCAGAATCCACAATGAGAGTGTAATAATAATTATTCTCCTCCCCCCCCCTCCATTTTTAAATCCCTTGATGCTGGGTATTGAACCTTAGGACCTCGTGCATGCTGGGTAAGCACTCTACCAACAGCTATTTCGTTAGTCGAAAAGCAGATTCTTACAGAGTTGCCACCTTAGCTCTTCCCCTGCCTCAGATATCAGAGCTCAAAATGCTGAGCAAACATTGGCAGCGAGCTCAGCTCTCACAAGCTCTTCGGTCACACATTTTGACATAGTGTACACGCCCTGTAATAGTTTTGTGGTTTAAATATTTGTTAAATTCTTGCTACTTAGAAAAAAAATTTTTTTCCTTTAGCCAGGTGTGGTGGCTCATGCCTGTGATCCTAGAACTCAGGAGGCTGAGGCAGGAGGATTGTTTTAAGTTTGAGGCCAACTTAGACCTCAGAGTAAGAGAAGTCCTGTCTTGAAAAGAAAAACAGTTTTAAAAATCTCGCTCAAAGTTTGGTGGAAAATATTTTTTGGCTTCTTTAGGTTGGCGTTCTTGCTTGTTTCTGTAATGTTCTTGAGGTGCATTTTTTTGCTATTAGCCTGAAGGCTTCCCAGCATTCCCCAGTGTAATGACACAATGTGTGTGCAGAGTTACACCATGGTAGATATCTCCTGGCCGGTCAGTGACCCTGTTTAGCAGCTCAGCCATATTGAGCACAGCAAGAGCTCATCAGAACTTGATGACCCCCAGGGACATGTCAGTGTGTCTACAACTATTCAGTGAAATTTTACTGGGGACTTAGGACACGATGAAGATTGCCAAGAACAGGCAAGGAGCTAGCTGAGGGGTCATGTTCCTGTCATTTATGTTTCTGGTCATTTACAATCTGGGGAGATAAATATGATACGGGATCAATGGCTGATAAAGGACTAGAGATGAAGCTCGGTGGTAAAGTGCTTGCCTAACCTGCTCAGAGCCCTGGTTTGATTCCCCCACAAGAAAAAAAAAAAACAAAAACCTCAAAGAATTTAATTCTATATTAACCTCAGCAATGCAAGGTGACCTTTGTTTAACCCCTTACTTAGCTCTTCCTTCAGTTTTTGTATCTTTTCTTTAAGGTGTAATTCATATGCCTGTGTGTATATGTAGTTTATATGTTGGTGTTTATGCACCCATGTGTGGGCGTGCATGTGGAGGCCAGAGGTCAATATTGGGTGTTTTCCTCTACTGCTCTTCGGCTTACTTTTTTGGGACAGGTCTTCACTGAATCTAAAATTCACAAATTGCTAGGCTATCTGGCCATAAGCCCTAGGCATCCTCTCGTCTCCCCTCTCTGCCCCAGTGCTGAGGTTGGGCATGCATTGATACATCTGGCTTTTTATGTGGGTGCTGGGAATCTGTACTTAGATCTTCGTGCTTGTGAAGTGTTAGGATTCCTGATGCCCATGGTACACCATCATGGGTAGTTTTCCTTCTATTAGTCATGCAGGAGAGAGGAGAGGTATTGGTATTCCTCAGGTCTGTGATGCCCAGTGGTGGGTACCTCTCATTCTGTCCATTATGGGTCATGTGGGAGAGAGGAGAGGAGGCCCCTGATATACACCTTGCATTCGCCCATTATCACTCACATGTGACAGAGGCAGGGGCATCAGAATAGTCAGGGCTCATGGCACAGTCCTGGGAAAAAGTACTTCCACTTCCCCAAAAGCCGTTCTCCCCAGTGCCATCACCTCTTTGCTTTCTTCATGAACGGACACAGTCCTCTGTCTGGGAGGTACTGGAAAGCTGTCTCTACCTTCTCCCTTTGTTTCTGGCTCAGGCTCTCCACAGCGTGTCAACGGCAAGGTGAAGGGAAGGATCTTCGTGGGAAACAGCCAGGTCCCTGTGGTCTTTGAGAACACTGACCTGCACTCCTATGTGGTGATGAACCATGGACGCTCTTACACGGCCATCAGCACCATCCCCGAAACCGTTGGGTATTCTCTGCTTCCCCTGGCTCCCATCGGAGGCATCATTGGATGGATGTTTGCAGTGGAGCAGGACGGGTTCAAGAACGGGTTCAGCATCACTGGTAATTGAGTCCCTGGATTAAAATGAACAGGCCACAGTCACAGGGAGACCAGAGAATGAATAGGGTGGGAACTCTGTGTCTGTAGACACTGTCCTTAAGCATTCTGTCTGTGGGCAGAGGACCCTCCAGTTCTTCCCTGGAAATAAGTGACAAGATAACATTCACATACAGCATATTCATTAAAGGAGAACACCTAGAACTGTGTTTTGATGGAGAAGTAGTTCCTTGGTGGGGATTTAGGAGTCTCCATTTTGGGGACTGAGGAGATGGGTCCATTGGTAATGTTGCTTGCCTTTCAAGCATAAGGACCTGAGTCTATTTCCCTCACAGGAAGAGCCAGGCGTGGTAGTAGGCACTTGCAATCTCAGCACTAAGGAGGTAGAGGCAGGATCCTTGGGCCCACTGGCCGGCCAGTAAGCCCTGGGTCCTAGTGAGAGATGAAAGGTGAAAGGCTGGGCATGGTGGTGCACGCCTTTAATCCCAGCATGTGGGAGGGAGAGGGAGAGGGATTTCTGTGAGTTCTCTGAGTTCAAGGCCAGCCTGCTCTATATAATGAATTCCAGGCCAGCCTGGCTACATAGTGAGAATCTTTCCACAATACCCCCAAACCAAATACACACACACACAGAACTCAAGGTGAGCAGCTTTTAGGGAGCAATGTCTGAGACTGACACTAGCTACCACATGTACCAGTACATACACATACACCCTCATACCACAGTCATGCACGCACCTTACACATGGGTGTACCCACATGCAATCATGTACACACTCCTAAACACACCTGTTCACCCCACACACACACACAATCATGCATACACCTGCCCACACACATAGAAAAGTCTCCACAGCTGAACGAGGAGGGGGTCAGCTCCTTCCTGTATCCCATCCGTCTAAAAACATCATTTAACATCTCCATATCTGCTCAGGGAAAAGAACCTGCCACTTCTAGCTAGTAAGTCAAGCCATCGTCCTCTTGAGTCTTAGGAAACATGGAGGTTATTAGAGTCTGTGCCCTTTAAGAACTGAGTCTTTCATGAATATGTAGGTAGATCTTTGGGGGAGGGGAGGACGCTTGCTTGGTGTCTTGCGTCTCTTCCTGTGCTCTGTGGAGGTCAGCCCCACGCTGACCCGCTGAGCCCGCACGCCTCATCTCTAGTCCCTTCTGGTCCCTCTGCCTGTGTCCTGGGCTGGGTCCGTGGACACTGCCTCCTACTCCCTAGACCTGCTTTGTCCCTCTGACCCTTCTTCCTCCCAATTAGTCCTCTCTGCTTCCTGTCTCAATGCCCCATTACTGCCTCTTATTCTCTTCCCTTTAGGTTGTTTCCTTCCCCTGTAGTCCCCTTTCCACTTTACTCTAGTAAAATATACAATAATACATACATAAATTTAAATCTACAGTCTTCATAGGCGAGACCTTCTTATGTTTGTTACTCTGAGTCTGGCTTAGTTTGGGCAAAGAAATTCTTCATCTGCTCATCACTTTACGAGCCTAGGACCAGCTGGAAGGTGCAGTTGCCAGGCCGTAGAGTGACAGGCTCATCTTGCTTTCCAGGGGGAGAGTTCACTCGCCAGGCTGAGGTGACCTTCGTGGGGCATCCAGGCAAGCTGGTAATGAAGCAGCAGTTCAGCGGCATTGATGAACACGGACACCTGACCATCGACACAGAGCTGGACGGCCGTGTGCCGCAGATCCCCTTCGGCGCCTCAGTGCACATTGAGCCTTACACAGAACTGTACCACTACTCCAGCTCCGGTGAGTGGTGAACTTGTGAGCCCAGGGGGCAGCCCTCCAGGCTGTGTGATTCCACATACTGCCCCGACCTGGAGCAGTACCTGGGGCAGTCTCCCTGGGGTCTGCAAAGAAGGAACACAGGCTGTCCTTTTCTGTAACCCTTTCTCTGTAATTACAGGCATAGGAAACACTATGTTTGTAATATTGGGGAGAATTTAAAGCAAATAAAATAATCAGGTGTGTGAGCACATCTATCTTTCCCACTCTTGGGATACTGATGTAGAAGGACCATCACCAGCTCCAGACCAGCCTGAGCTAATAGCAGACCATTGCCTCATAAAAGAAAAACAAACAGGGGCTGGAGAGATGGCTCAGCGGTTAAGAGCACTGACTGCTCTTGCAGAGGACCCGGGTTCAATTCCCAGCACCCACACGGTGGCTACGAACTGTCCTTAACTCCAGTTCCAGGGGAGATCGAAGCCCTCTTCTGACCTCCGCGGCATTGCACGACATGGGTGCACTCACATACATGCAGGCAATACACTCATACACATAAAATAAGAATAATAAATTTTTTAAAAATTAAACAAAAAGAAAAAAACCAAAACCCACAAAATGGGATGTAGCTTGGTTGGTAGAATGTTTGCTTAGCAGGCATGAAGCTCTGGTTTCCATCCGTAATACAGCGTAAACCAAGAGTGTGGCACATACCTGTAATCCCAGAATTCAGGAGGTAGAGTCAGCAAGATCAGAAATTCAAAGTTACCATCAGTCACATAGGGAGTTTGAGGCCAGCCTGGGCTAGAACCCCTGTTCCAGAAACAAAACAAAACAGAAAATAAGCCTGGACGTGATTTTAAAATGTGTTTTCTTGCAACATTTTTGCTCCCTAATTTCTATTATCTGAATTTATTATTATTTATTATCTGTATTATCCCCACTATTATATAATTTAAGATAAATTATGTAATTTTATTATAATATATATTTGTAGTTAATTTTTTTGAATTTGTTGTATGTATATGAGTGTTTTGCCTGCATATATGTAAATGCACCTATGTCATGCAATGTCCGTGGAGGTCAGAAGAGGCTGCCAGATTCCTTGAAACTGGGGTACATATGGTTACTAGCTATCATGAGGGTGCTGGGATTTGAACCCAGGTCCTCTGCAAGAGCAGACAGTGGTCTTAACCGCTGAGCCCTCTCTCCAGCCCCCTATTTATAGTTTTTTAATATTTATTCTCCCATTTGGCATCTGGTTGTATCTTACAGAAAAGTTGAGAAAATCGTGAAGAACTTCCACCTGCCGCTCCCTCACTTGGCTGATGGCTAGCTGTTTGCCACCTGTACTGATAGAACATTTTTTTTTCTTGGCTGTTAGAAAGTGGTCCTTGTAGTTCATGTCCCCTCAGTGATTCAGACTTTTTTTCCCCTGAGAACAAAGACATTCTTTTATGTGACCACATCATAATTATCAAAAATTAGGGCTGTTTTCTCTTTTTTTTGGCTTTTGTTGAGACAGGGTCTTGCTCTGTAGCCCAGGCTAACCTCAAGCTGGACGCCATCCTCCTACCTCTGCCTCCCAAGTGCCACCATATCCAGCCTCTGGAATTTAGCATCAATATGATATTTTATAATCTTCGATGTTTCTTTTTCATTCAAATCAAATTGCAATTATCCAGTGTTGTTGTATCTTCACCCTTTCAGTTAATGTTCAGTCATGAATATTTGCCAGTGTTATTAAGTGGCTTTGAAAACCATTTTAAAGAAATCTGTCCCAATCTGTTGGGCGGCCATTACTTTCTCCTGCTCTCTAAAGTGTAACTTACCCTAGTTTTCGCCCCTCTCATGATGAATTGAAACAAACATCTATGTTATAAATCTTGGCCAAATTTCTTTTTTGTTGTTGCTGTTATTTGTTTGTTTGTGTGTACTGGTAGGGATTGAACTTGGCCTCACACATGCTGGGCAGACGCTCTGCTACTGAGCTACATCCAAAGCTCTTGGCCAAATTTCTGATTCCTTTGTAGTACTTGGAGTGGAACCCAGGGCCTTATGCATACTAGGCAGGTGTCCCATCACTGAACTCTATCCCAGAACCTTCCTTCCTTTCTTTCTTTCTTTCTCTTTCTCTTTCCTTTCTTTCTTTCTTTCTTTCTTTCTCTCTCTCTCTCTCTTTCTTTTTCTTTTTCTTTCTTTCTTTCCTTCCTTCCTTCCTTTCTTCCTTCCTCTCTCTACCTATCTTTTTCTTTTTCTTTCTATCATTCCTTCTTCTGGATTAAATTTTATTTTGTATTAGTATCTCATTAAGTTGCCTAGACTGACCTTGAACTCATTCTGTAGCCCAGGCATGCCTTAAACTTGCAGTCCTGCCTTGGCTTCCCAAGTAGCTAGAATGACAGGCCTATGCCATCAGGCCTGGCTTTCTGACTCGCTTCTGAGACTCAATTCCTAGAAACACAGGTTCCAAGTCAGACATTAGGAACTTTAAAAATGCTGCTGTCAAAGTGCCATCCAGGAAGGTATTGCCCATGGCCAGGGCTTCACAACTTGGTCTCGTTCTCCTCTTGGGGACTGGGAGCCCGTGGAAGGAAGGGACAACAGGGCTGTGGTCTTCCGCCCGCATCCAGATGGCCTGCTGGCAACCAGAACGTGAGGCTGGATGGGAGACAGTGCACACTGATCTTTTATTTGTCCTCTGGCTTCCATGCTTCTGTTATGAAGCAGATCGCAGCAGAACACGGAAATATAAAGGGTCTTTTATGCTTGGAAGAAAAAAAAAAGGAAGTGGAGGACTTTGTGGCCTGGGCCAATAGCAGCTCTTTTCTGACTGGGGAGGACTGTCTCTGCTTTTCTTTACTAAGATTTGCTCCTGGTAATTTTTCCAAATTGGCTGCTAAAAATTTCCATATTTCATTTTTTTTGATACAGAATTCTTACTCTAGGGTACTTGGGGAAAACCACTATTTATTGACTCCTAAATGAGAAATCCAATAGAAACCAATTTGAATGCTATTAATCATTAGGAAATGCCCAATAAAATGTGTGTCTATGGGAGTTGGAGAGATGGCTCAGCGGTTAAGAACACTGGTTGTTCTTGCAGAAGACCTGGTTCAAATCCCAGCACCCACATGGCAGCTAACAGTTGTCTGTAACTCCAGTCCCAGGGGATCCAACAGCCTCTCAGAAGGTCAGAACCTCCGCAGGCATTGCACGACACAGGTACACTTACCTACATGCAGGCAATACACTCATAGACATAAAATAAAAATAATAAAATTTTTTTTAAAGGTGTGTCTAAGCAATAGGATTAGTTTGCTTGATTCTAGGTAATTTACATGTATGACCATATCAGATTCTCACCCCAGCCCCTTTTGAAAGAGAAACTGAGGCAAAAGTATCTAGTGCCAGGCTGGTGATTCTGCCCTCAGTGGTGAGAGGAGATTTTCTTCACCTGAGCATCTGCTCTTCATGTCAGACCTCATCTGTAGCTCTGGGTGTCCTGGGAACTTAGAGAGAGCCACTTAATTTAAGTCAGCAAGGATTAATGTGAACACCACTGATGGTGGGGAACAGCCAGCAGCATGAATCCAAACACAGAGGACTCTCTTCCTTACGCTGCCCCTCAGACCTGTCATCTGGTTTCACTGTGGGCAGAGATTGCCTCAAAGCCTTTGCTGAAGCTCCTTGCATCTGTCTCCATCCATAGTGATCACCTCCTCCTCCACCCGGGAGTACACAGTGACAGAGCCCGGGCGGGATGGAGCTGCACCCTCACTTACCTACACTTACCAGTGGCGCCAGACCATCACCTTCCAAGAGTGTGTCCATGATGACTCCAGACCAGCCCTGCCCAGCACCCAGCAGCTCTCCGTGGACAGTGTGTTTGTCCTGTACAATCAAGAGGAGAGAATCTTACGCTACGCCCTCAGCAACTCCATTGGGCCTGTGAGGGGTAAGGTGGACAGGGCTCACACCAGTATCGTGTGTGTGTGTGTGTGTGTGTGTGTGTGTGTGTGTGTGTCTACACATGCCTCTCTGCACTCACATGTGTCAGAATCCTTGCTCTGGGCTTTGGGATTTTGGTCTCTTATTCTCAGTGTATAGAAGAAATGATACTGAGATAGCTTGGGAAAGAGAAAGAAAATGCCTGGTCATCTGTAGCTCTTGGCAAACATCTGCTTTCGTTCTTCTGACCAAAAGTCTATTCATGGGATTATCTGGGCTGTCTCTTCGTGAGCTCTTAGACAGAATGCTGCCTTGAGTTAACTCGTGGAATTGACCAGCCAAAGGCTACTGATGGCTCTGGCATGCCTTTTTTTTAAATTTTATTTTTTTAAAGGATCACATTAGTAATTGTACATATTTGTGTGATACAAGGTAATTAATTTCAATATATGTATCCAACATGTAGTGATTGGGTGATGGTGAACACTCAGACTCTTCTCTCTGAGCTGTTTTGACACGCACAAGTAGTTGTCAACCTTGGTTCCCATACTGTGATATAGGACATTAGATGTTCTCCCTCCGTCCAGTAGCACTTGGACCTGTTAACTGCCCTCTCTGCTTCTTCCCAGCACCCCCACCCTTCCCAGTCTCTGACTGCCATTATTCTTTCTATGTCTGTGAGGTCAACATTTTCAACTCCCACAAGTAAACAAGAATAAATACAGGCAGTATTTATCTTTCTGTGCTGATTTATTTCATCCATATTGTCCTAAACGAAAGAGTATTGTTTCCTTTTACATCTGAATGGTATTCTTCTGTCTATATATAATACTTTCCTTATCTAGTCATGGTAGGACTTTTTCCAACACTCTCATCCTGTACCTTGAAAGGTATTGTGTTCTTGGGACCTCAGAAAGTCTATATAAAACCTGGCCCAAAATCCAGGACAAGCCTGTTCCTGTGACTGCGCACCCCAGGGCTGCTGACATATCAGTGTCAGCCTCCTCATGGACACCATCTGTCCAGTTGGGCTCTGGGTCTCTTTTCTAGTTGTCTTTGGTTCCTCCTGTTTCCCAGGTCACTTCCCCAGCTGATGGTGTGTCTGCACGTCAGCTCTGTGGGTAGAAGCAGGTAGGCATGGTCCCTCCCCCTTTGACAACTGTGGCTCTGGGTTTCAGGAGTCAGCATGACAGTCCAGATGGTAGATATTTTGGTGTTATCCAGGCATAAACATCTCAGTTCTGCCATGAGTGTTGTAAATAAGACTATAAAACAGAAGGGACCAGAGGGGTGGAGTCTGATGGTCCCACACTAATGTAGCATGGAAGGCCCTGATTCCCATTGCTCTGTTCACCTTTGACCACCCCTTCGTGATGGTGGCTCACTTCCTGTGGAAGGAGGGGAGCTGGAAGGTTCCTGAACACTGTCTCTGCCTTCACAGATGGCTCCCCTGATGCTCTTCAGAATCCATGCTACATTGGCACCCATGGGTGTGATACCAACGCTGCCTGTCGCCCGGGCTCTGGAACACAGTTCACCTGCGAGTGCTCCATTGGCTTCCAAGGAGATGGGCAGACCTGCTACGGTACAGCCTTGGGGTTTGATGCACAGTGGGCTGGGGACATCAGGCTGGGAGGAAGCACCCAGGCCTGTAAGCCATGAGGCTGGGGACATGTGACAAGGAGGAATGGGTCATGTCCAAAGACTCAAGGATTTAGCATGCCCGCCATGCACCTGCTGTCTCCTTGGAAACGTCAGTGCTAATGTGCTGTCTCTCAGCAGCAGAGCAAAATTCCTCTTTCTGTTTTTGCTTTTGAGACAGGGTCTACCTAAGAAGCCCAGGGTGGCCCCAAACTTGAGATCTTCCTGCCTCTGCCTTCTAAATTCTGGGATTACAGGTGTACACCACCATGCCTGGCCAGTGGGACAAAATTCCCAAGGCTCGGCTCCACTGCAGATGTGAGGTATTCAGGTTTAAAGAGAAGCAGAAGTCCTAGCTCCTGCTGAGGCCGTTGGTCATGCACTTAGCTGTGATTTACACAGGATCTCCTCACTTTGGTGCCTTGCCAACAGCAGGCTTCTCCGACAGTAATCAAAGAGATTATTTTTTATTAATTTTTTTCTTACTTTCTTATTATTTTTTATGCGTATGAGTATGCAGTGCCCAGAAAGGTCAGAAGGGCATTGGATTCCCTAGAACTGGAGTTAAAGATGGTTGTTAGCTGCCATGTGGATGCTAGGATTTGAACCTGGGTCCTCTGCAAGAGCAGCCAGTGCTCTTAACCACTGAACCATCTCCCCAGCACCCCAAAAAGAGATTCATTCTTGTTTATTTTGTTGTTATTTTATTTTTAAACTATCTTTAATTGTAAAATATACATAACGTAAAATGTACCATTTTAGCTTTTTCTTTGGTGAGGTATTGGAGATCGAGCCCAAGATTTTGCATATGCTAAGGCAAGCATTCTACTGCCAGACTACAGGCTTCAGCCTTTGATTTTCCCTTTCTTTTATTATTATTATATTTACTCTGTGTGTGTGTGTGTGTGTGTGTGTCTATGATGTGTGTGTGTGAGGACACACATGCCCTCACAGGTATGTGGAGGTCAGAGGACAATTGTCTCTTTCTACCTTGGGTGAGCAGGGTCTCTTTCTGTTGCTGTGCTGTGTACTCCAGACCAGGTGTGTGAACCCTCAGGCATTCTCTGGTTTCTCTTCACCTCCGACCTTGCCAAAGGAGCACTGGGATCAGAGATGTGAACCACTGCATCCATCTTTTTTTTGTGTGGGTCCAGGGATTGAACTCGGGCTGTCAGGCTTGGCCTGTAAGTGCTTTTACCCACAGAGCCATCTTGTTGGTCCTTTTCTTTCTTCTTTTGAAAGGAAGGTCTTGCTATGTAGCTCAGACTGGCCTTGAACTCATGATCCTTCTATCACTGCCTCCTGAGTGCTGAAATTACAGGTGTGTACCAGCACACCCAGCAACAGGTTTATTTTTTGTATTTATTTACTTTTGGTTTTTGAGACAGTCTCATGTGCCCCAGGCCAGCCTTGAACGCCCCATATAGCCAAAGCTGGTTTTAACTCTTGACCCTCCTGCTCCTGTGTCCTGAGTGCTGGGTCGACAGGCAATCAATGCTATTTTTAACTCGTTTTAGCTGTGGCATTCAGTGTTCTTAAAAACATTCATAGCCCGGCGTGGTGGCACACACCTTTAGTCCCAGCACTCGGGAGGCAGAGGCAGGCGGATCTCTGTGCGTTTGAGGCCAGCCTGGTCTACATAGTGAGTTCCAGGACAGCTGGGGCTTTAGAGAGCCCCTTTCTCAAAAAAAAAAAAAAAAAAAAAAAAATTCATATTGTGAAACTGCTACCACTGTTCTTTGCTAGGTCTCTTCTTCATCTTGTCCAACCCTGTGCCCATTAAAACCACAGCTCCCACCCAGTTCCCCACCCACCCTGCAACCCCTGCCCCATTTCCCTCTGCTCTAGTTTGGTTTCTGTTGCTAGGATGAAATACTGTTCAAAGGAAAATCAGGGATCTTCTCTATCGGCCGTCCTGTGGACATGCCTAGGAAGCATTGTCTTAATTGTTGAGTGATGTGGGAAGACCCAGCCCACTGTGGGTGGTGCCACCCCTAGGAAGCATTGTCTTAATTGTTGAGTGATGTGGGAAGACCCAGCCCACTGTAGGTGGTGCCACCCCTAGGCAGGTGGACCTGGGTTGAATAAGAAAGCAGGCTGAGCAGGGGCCAGAGGAGCAGCAGCGTTCCTCCGTGGTCTCTGCTTCAGTTCCTGCCTCCAGGGTCCTGTTTGAGCTCCTGCTCTAGCTTCACTAGGTGAAGGACTGGACTGTGAACCAAATAAACCCTTTCCTCCCCAAGTTGGCTTTAGTCACAGAGTTTGTCACGGCAATGGAAAGCAAACTAGGACACCTACACTTTGTGTCTTTACGAATCTGATGATCTAGAACCCTTGGATCACACAGCTTGCGTCACAGCACGTTTACTGTCCCAGTCTCAAGATACATCCACTCCACAGCGTGTGTCAGAGTGCCTTTTTCCTTTGACAGTTGACTACTATTCCATTGTGTCACCTACCATGCTTTCCTTATGCATCCATGCAAGTGAAGGGAGTGCTTCCTTCCAGAAGCCATGGCCAGCCATGCTTTATGGTCCCTTCCGAGCGGACATGTGGTTGTCCCCACCTTTTGGCTACTGCAGACCCATTTCTGTTGTGAAGTCCCTAATTTCAGTTCTTGGGGGAGCAGGCTGGGTCATGCTGCAGTTCTGTGTCTCGTCCCGAGGCACCTCCATATCGTGTTCTGTAGCAGCAATGCTTTTTTTACGTTCCCACCTACAGTGCACAGGAGTCCCAACTTCTCTATGACTTAGTGTATGGCGGGGGAGGCATGCATTTGTGTGTGCATGTGGAGGCCAGAGGATGCTTCAGATGCCCTCAAGAACTCCATCTGCCTCCTTTGAAAAGGGGTCCCTCACTGACCTGGAACTCACCAGTTATGCTTCCCAAGCCCCAGGGATCCTCCTGTCCACCTTCCCAATGCCAGAATTACAAGCATATGCCTCCACACATGGCTTCTCATGTGGGTTCTAAGGGCGGAACTCAGGTGCCCAAGCTTGCATGGCAAGCACATAACTGACTGACCTAGCTCCCCAACCCCAATTCCTCCATGACCTTGACAACTCACGCACACTATTTCCTGTTGTTTTATTTCCAGCTGGCCTGGAACTCACTATGTAGACCAGGGTGACCTTGAACTCACAGAGATCCCCCTGCCTCTGCTTCCCAAGTGCTGGGATAAAAGGCATGCACCACCACACCAGGTTGTTTTGTTTTCTTTAATAGTGGCCATTGTAACTCATTAACACTGAGCCAGTGACAGTAAAGTGACTAAAGTGAGCCACTGAGTGATTCTGTCTTTTAATCAAGCACACTGCCTTCTGACTTTATTTTATTATTTATAATTTAACTCAAAGATGTTCGTGTGTAGACAGCTTGATATTTGTCTGTTACTAAATGTTAATCCGTTACTGAAGAGCAGTGAGTCAGACCCCTGAGCTCCTTAAGTCTTTACTGAGGCACTCACTAATGAGAAGGAATGTCAGCACAGTTGGGTCGTCATCCCTGGTAGGGATGCTCACACACGTCTGCCTAGCACGATAGGAACTCCCTCCATCTGTGCTTGACTGGGGAGCAAGTCCTGGCAAGCCCAACAACTTTGGGATTTGGGAGTAGGTGTTAGGCCTGGAACTCCACCCTGCTAATGAGTGACAAGTCTGGTGTGCAGATCCTGACGTTGGACATGGGGTGTTTGCTTCCGAGTGAGCCTTCCCGGCTGGGTGTTTGCCCATGGGGGTGCCTGAAACATTCGTGAGCAGGGACTTGTGCTTGCAGTAATTTGGGCAGCTTGGGGATGAGTTATGTAGGTGGTAGCATTCCATCTGGCACTCACCTACCTCGTCACAGACATGGTGGAGGGGACGCAATGCCTATTAGCCTGTGATTGTCAGTGGCCCAGTCCTTCCCTAAAGAACACAACAGTTGTGATGGGCGCATTGACTCAGGACACTTCCAAACAGCACAGTGCTACGTGCTTGTGAGCAGAGCCCTCCCAGGCTGTGAAGATGACTGTGGGGGCACCATGTGAGGGATGGAGCTCCTTCATGACCACATGTTCTTAGTCCACACAGTGTCAGCAGCCAGCTCATATCTACTGAAGCCTGGTTTCATGGTTACTTTTGCCATTGCTGTGGCAAAATACCTGACAAAGGCAATTAAGGAAAGAGGGTCTATTTGAGCTCGCAGTTTGAGGGTATGGTCCATCATGGCAGGGAAGGTTTTGGGGGGCAGGAGCATGAGGCAGCTGGTCACATTATATCTACAGTCAGGAAGCAGAGAGACACAGTGCTAGTGCTCAGCTCGCTTCTCTGTATTCAGTCTAGGCCCCTGGCCTTTGGGATGATGCTGTCTGCAATTAGAGAGGGTCCTCCCATCTCAGTTAATCTAATCTAGAAAGTCCTTCACAGACATGGCTAGAAGTTTGTCTCCAAGGTGACTCTAGATCCCGTCAAGTTGGCAAACATCACAAGTGGGGATGTCCCCGTCTGCTGCTCACAGCACTCTTCTGGCTGGCACTGCTCTCAATGCCTGAGCCCATCACAGTGCTCACTTCAGAAGGAACAGTCCCCCCCAACTACCATGCTTAATGTGTCTGCTGTGCTGTGGAAGTCTTGCACAAGAAGACAGGTGGCTATGTGTGTGCTTGCTGTTGCCCTGGAATGTTCTGTTTGGTGGAATGTGGAGAAGTTCCGAGTCAGGCTGTTTTTTGTTCTAAGTCACTAGACCAGGCCTGTGCGCAAATGCAGCTGGACACAAGGCTTTTGATAGGAAATTGCATTACACAGCTGGTTCCATGTGTTGTTTTAACCTGGGGATGTGCCTGACAGGCGCTGGGGTGAGTCTCTGCAGTTCAGGCATGTGGTGGGATACAGTGATATGTAGAGAGACTGGTTTGGACTGCTAATCTCCCAGCAAGCTTCCCAGGGAATCTGGAGATTTTAGGGGAACCACAGAGCTCACTGATTCACTTGGGGTGTGTGGCATGATGGTACCCACTTAGTCCTCAATTTAGGATCCATAGCAACAGTGCTGGTTAATAACTCAGTGAGGAACTTTTGAGTTTCTAGAAAGCATATCATAAGTCAATAATTAGACTCTTCTCCTCAAAGGGCCTGACCTTTTTATTAAAAAGACAAACTGCAAAGACTTAGAGTCACTGAAAATATGTGAAAATAGGCACTGTAAAAAAAGAATCCAGGACTGGCAAGATGGCTCAGGAGGTAAAAGTACTTGCTGTACATGTTGATACCCCGAGTTCAACCTCTAGAACCCACGTGAAAAGTTGGATGCAGTGGTGGGCATCTGTAGTCCTGGCATCCCACAGCAAGATGGGAGACACGGTCGGGATGATTACCCAGAAGCCTGAGGCCCAGCTAGTCTGGCGTACAGAGAACAGCAGAAACAAGAGAACCCTGCTGAGCAAGACAGAAAGAGGAAACCAATTCCCAGGGGTCGTTCTCTGACCTCCACATACAAACATAATAACAATAATTTACAATTTAATTCAAAATTAATCCCAAACTGGATGTAGTATATACACCTGTAATCCCAGTACTCAGGAGGTAGAAGAAAGAGGATTCTAAGTTTGAGACCAGCCAGGCTACATGGAGATATCCTGTCTCAAAAATACAAAAGGTAGCCGGGCATGGTAGTGCACACCTTTAATCCCAATACTCAGGAGGTAGAGGCAGATGGATCTCTGTGAGGTTGAGGCCAGCCTAGTCTACACAGTGAATTCCAGATCAGTTGGGGCTTTAGGGAAACCCTGTCTCAAAAGGACAAAACCAAAACAAAGAATACAAAAAGTAAAAATAAATTTTAAATAAAAAAAGAATAATCTAGGATTTCCCTGTTGGGGTAAAGAGAGATTCAATGGGAATATCTTTTCAGAGAAGTTGACCAGGTGTTGAAAAATCCTCTTCAAGCAGATGGTTTTGGGATGCTACCACAGTTGCCATAGTAACCAGGTCATGGTTCCCATTTAAGAAAGAGTTAGGGTCCTGGCCCCCATTTACAGAGGAGAAAATTTAAATTACATATGAGGAAAAATTTCCAAACTGCAAGGACCACAGGATCTTAGTGTGGATACTGCAAAGGTCTTGTCTCTAAGCAAAGGGGGCCACCCAGCCTGGCCTGAATGCTTGCAGACCTGATGGTGTGGGGGCTGTCCTAGTGGAGGGACTATCTTCCCTGGTCCTACTGTGCCAAAACCCTGTTACCCCACTGTGGCCTCTGTAGCTCTTTCGAAACAGAACTTCCCTGTCCATAAATGTTCCCAGCGAGGAAGGGAGCTTGGAAAAGTTCCCCTGGTGACTTGGCTCTGGCTCTTAGATGGAAAACTGCTGTTCCTCTCTTGTACTCTGCTGGGTCTGTGCTGTCAGGTTGTGCAGATGGCACAGGGGTCCAGCCACCTGCAGTGAGTGCTCTCAGAGTGGTGTGGCACACAAGTGGTGGGTGCAGGAGAGAGCTGCTCCTCCTGTGCTGGGGGAGCAGCATCTGGAAGATGGGCTTGTGTAGCCCCCATCTGCAACCCTATCTCCAACTCATGCTGTTCTGTAACCCTCCAGCTCTGCCTGGCAAAGTCTTCTTATCTGAGATCCTGAGTACTGACAAACATGGCAGTAAATCTGACTTGGTATAAAACTTTTAGTAAAATCCCAGTAACCAAAAACAGACAGTCAAGAATTCACCAGGACCAGACCTGGATTTTGTTTCTTCCCTTGGCACAGGAGGACTCAGAAATCTACCAGTGTGTTATAAGGCAAGTTCCTCATTTAAAATAGAACCAATCCACATGCATCTCTCTCTCTCTCTCTCTCTCTCTCTCTCTCTCTCTCTCTCTCCTTTAAGTATCATTTAATTTGGAGTTTTGCGCTACCCAGGAAGCAGCAGAACACTTTTCTCATGCGTAAAGAGAGGATTTAAAGTGCCCAGTGGAGGTGGACCCAGGATGCTTTGCTTCTGAGTGAACAATTCACCTTAAAGCACTAGGGAGGGGCTTGGAGGGGGAGAAGATTGAACGGTCCCAGTCCTCATGAAACCCTCTGCACACATATCTCTGGCGGGACTGCAGACTCTCTGACGTGTTGCAAGTATAGGAAGGGACTTTATGTGACCGTGTTTCAACAGTGGACAGGTAACCAGGGTAATGAGGGGTAAGCTCAGTTTCTCATCAAGGGCAATCAGCCTTACATTAGTGATAGCCATAGATGGTCCCCCAAACCTGGTGGCCACCTTAAAGCTGTATTCCCAGAATGCACTGGGGGTGTGGGATGGATATGTAATGATTACAAGTCATGGTCTACATCAGTTTTCTCCAGTGCTCAAAAGAACCCACAGGTGAATATTATGATTACATACAAATGGGGAAACTGAGGCTGGGTAGTTATGTAATCTTTCCAGACCATACAAGTCAGTAACACAAGGAGACAAGATTTGAATCTTGCTCCATTCACATTCAAGACATACATCTTTTGCTCTGTTACCCAGTGGTGACGGCTTTAATGTCAGATGAGAGGACACCACTCTGATAACTCATCTATATGAGCTAATAACTTTCTTTTGAGCCCATTAAACTCTAAGTGACATTAAAAAAAATATTCACTGGACTGGAGGGATGGTTCAGTGGTTAAGAGCACCTACTGCTTTTACAGAGGACCTAAGTTCAGTTCCCAGGACCCACATAAAGCAGCTCACACCCGTCTGTAACTTCAAGCTCCTGGGGATCCATTGCCCTCTTCTGGCCTCTGTAGGGATCTGTGTTTACAAACACACATACATGTAATTAAAAATAAATTAAGTCCTAAAACTCATAATTTGGTCTTAATTTATCCAGTCTTTCTTTGTGACTCTAACTGGAGGGTAGTATTTTTGAATGGCAGTATATTTGTGTATGTGTCCAAGTGCTGGGTTCTATCTGGAGTCAGGCACTTACTTGCCGTGTTCTTCTGATACGTTTTTGCCAGTCTGATATGAGTGACTTGTTTGGATGGGCACTGCCACAGCAGCTCACTCAAGCAAGGTGGAGAAGTGCACTGTTCTAATTTGTTTTGTTTCTAAGGTGACCAAAAGCAACTGGGAGGGAAGGATTTCAGGTTACATCCATCACTGAGGGAAGCCTGGGCAGGAGCTGGAGGCAGGGTCTGAAGCAGAGACCATGGAGGACCGCTGCTGACTGGCTTGTTCCCCCGGCTTGCTCAGCTACCTTTCTTATACAGGCCAGGCCCACGTGCCCAGGTGTGGTACTGCCCACCAGTGGGCTGGGCCCTCCTACCTTAGTTAGCGGAAGTGAACCATGGCATGCACATTACTTAGGAAACCAACTGGGGGTTGATCCCTAAGTTATGCACAGGGAAAAATAAATGTCTCCATTCCATATTTCTTTGGGCATATAGAAAAAAAAGTATCTTAAAGTGGATCTATTCTCAAGGGGTTAAATGCTTTCTATTTTATTATGTTTCATGATAGTAAAGAGGTTTCTAAAAGTCTGCATTTTTATAAAAAAAATTGCTGTAGATATTGACGAATGTTCAGAACAGCCTACCGTGTGTGGGAGCCATGCAGTCTGCAACAATCTCCCTGGAACCTTCCGCTGTGAGTGTGTGGAGGGCTACCGCTTTTCAGATGGGGGAGCATGTGTGGGTAAGTACTCTCGGAATCTTTTCAAGACATGTATTCATGGTGTGGGCTAGCTCTGTGGGAAAGTCATGGTTCTAGATCTCAGTGCTGGCAGAGCAGCAGAGAGGGGTTAACTACAAGGGAGATCGGTGCAGGCCTGCCCACCACCCATTGGACACAGCCGCCAAAAGTGTGTTCCTGTATTACAAACCCCAGTGTAGACTAGCACCATCTTCTGTTGCAAGCTTTGCATTACACTTGCTTCTAAACCTTTGATCATTTTCAGCATATATTTAAAGGCTGTTAAAGCTACTGGACTTGCCTTTTGTCATCAGAAGCCTTGGGATTGGTGAGGAGTACCTTTAGGCACCTGAATGCTTTTAACTGTCTTAGACAGAGTTCTACCTGAGTTACATCAGAAATGCCACTTGGAACTGTTCTATTTATAGATCTTAATTTCATAAACCACAAAGTGTGGCATAACATCTTACTTTCCTAAGTATATTAATCCTATTAATTCATTAGCTAATTATGCCCTTGATCGATGATGACTCTGACGAGAATGAGAGGCCAGCCACAAAGAGCAAGACTTTTGAAAATTTATCTTCCATTTCATGCTGTCGTGTTGTTTTCAGGACATTTTTAATTTTTTTGAGACAGAGTCTCATGTATCCTGGGCTGGCCTGATACTCACTATGTAGCCAAGAGTGACTTGATCTTCTGATCCTCCTGCCTCTACCTTCCAGAATGCCTGGATCATAGGTATGCACCGCCACACCCAGTTTATTCAGTGCTGGGAATGGAACCCAGGGCCTTGTGCATGCTAAACAAGCACTCTAATCTCTGAGCTATGTCCCCAGCCCAGGTTGTAAGAATTTAAAGTTCAAAGGTTCTTGGTGACTTCCAGGTCTAGATGCCAACATGTTGAATGAGCCATGTGTCTGTCTGAGTTAAAACAGAGCCCAACTGTGCTGTATCAGCCAGTGTCCCCACGTCTTCCCTGGCTGTTTACTGAGCCAGTGTCCCCACGTCCTCCCTGGCTGTTTACTAAGCCAGTATGCAGGAGTTCCCTTTGTTCTATCTCAGAGCACAGAAAAGGAGCCAAGGTCTGGATGAGGTGGTGTGTGCAGGGCGGGAGAGAACAGACAGTTCTCATGCTTTGAATGTGACCCAAACATCTGTGAGCCCAGGAGGCTGGTCCCCTTGGCTGCACAGAGCTGAGATTTCAACCCTCTGTGTTCAAGTTATTTCTTTTTCCTTCTGGTAGATAGCATCAGTTTCTGTGTACTTGGTCTGATTTCGTCCTTTGGTTTTTGAGCCTGGGAGGCACCAAACTTTGCCTTTAATACAGCACCATTGACATTCCTGTTTGGCTCAAGTATGGGTGGTGGACTCTTCTGAGACCCAACCTGGGGCCTGTGTGGAGGAGGCAGGGTGGCCTGGGTCTGCCCCTCCTTTTTTTTTTTAAGACTTACTTATTTTTATTTTATGTGCATGAGTGTTTTGCCTGCATGTGTGTAAGTGCACCACATGTGTGCAGTATCCAGGAGGCCAGAAGAGAGCATCAGATTCCCTGGAACTAGAGTTATAGACAGCTGTTAGGGACTGTGTAGGTGCTGGGAACTAAACCTGTGTTCTCTGCAAGAGCAGTAAATGCTCTTAACCATTGAGCTGTCTCTTCAGCCCCTAAAACTTTGTTGGTTTTTTTGTTTTTGTTTTTTATTTTTATTTTTAGACAGGGCCTTGGCCAGACTGGCCTCGAACTCCCAGAGACCCACCTGTCTCTGCCTCCTGAGTGCTGGATTAAAGGCATATGCTACCTTGCCTAGCTTGCCTCTGCCCATTCTTGGAAGTCACACTCACTGGAGAGCAGGACAGACCAGAGTGCTGTGCAGATGTCCCTCCCAGACATTGATTTTCAGCAAGATGTTAACCTCCCAGGCCTCAGCTGTCCATCTGTAAGATGGGCTCATTGGAGGTGATCATCGACTTCCTATGTCCCATGGAACCCTTGGAGATGCCCAGGAGCTGCCTAGGAGGACGGGGAAGTCATAGGCTGGCTCTTGAACTCTTCCCTGGCTCCCAGCCCTCCATTTATCTATAAATCAAATTCTGAGTAAGCTGCTTGAATAATGGATTCCATTGCTCAGAAACAAGCTCATCCTGGTAAGCTTGTGATTCCCAGCTACCTGGGAGGCTAAGGTAGGAGGATCACAGGTTCAAGGCCCGCTTGGGCTACTGAGTAAATTCTAGGCCAACCTGGACTAGAGATGCAGCTCAGTGGTAGAGTGTTTCAAAAACATTCATAAACTAATAGGTACGATGATATAAAAGGTGAAGCCTGGACTTCTGGGTCCAGATGTGGTCCCCCCTCTCAGAGACTCACTGAACCTGATTGCTGGAGTGGAGAGGGTTTGGAAGAGTGTCTACCCGCCCCAGGACTTTCTTCCAACCACATGTGTTCATCTTTCATTCTGAAGCTGTGGTGGACCAGCGGCCCATCAACTACTGTACAGCTGGTCTCCACGACTGTGACATTCCCCAGCGGGCCCAGTGCGTCTACACCGGAGGCTCCTCCTATACCTGTTCCTGTCTGCCTGGCTTCTCTGGCGATGGCCGAGCCTGTCAAGGTGTGTGGTGGCTCTGAATTTCCTTCTGTTTATTTAAACAATAACTAGATACCTGCTCTTTGCTGGGAACTGAGGCTTCTGTTTGTTTTTCAAAAAGTCAAAGAGGCCTCCAACGCGTGGAGTTTAAAGTCCATCCTTTTATTTAATGAGCTTGCTCTCACCTGCACAAGAAGCAAAGTTCCCATATTGAATGCAAAGCTGAGGAGTCAGAGGATCAATGACATCACAGAACCCTTCCATGCTTGGCCTCAGCCTGTGGTTGCCTGCCAAGGGACTCATAGTTTGTTTTTCAAAAAGTCAAAGAGGCCTCCAACGCGTGGAGTTTAAAGTCCATCCTTTTATTTAATGAGCTTGCTCTCACCTGCACAAGAAGCAAAGTTCCCATATTGAATGCAAAGCTGAGGAGTCAGAGGATCAATGACATCACAGAACCCTTCCATGCTTGGCCTCAGCCTGTGGTTGCCTGCCAGGGGACTCATGATAATTTTAAGAAGTGAACAGAGTAACTCAGGGCTCTTAGTTTGCAAAGTTAGACAGTTGAGTGAACAGTCCAAATTAGAGATCAATAATGATTTCAGAGATATTGTCTCTGTATTATTGACTATGTCATTTTCTTGTGGAATGAGTGTCTTGAAAATTAACATTTAGGGATTGGAGAGATGGCGCAACAGTTAAGGGCACTAGCTACTCTTGCAGAGGACAGGGTTCAGGTCCTAGCACCCAAATGGTAACTCCAGTTCCAGGGGATCTGATGCCCTCTTCTGACCTCCATGGGCATTGCAAGATATGGGTGCACTTACATACATACAGGCAATACATTCATACACATAAAATAAAAATAATAAATAATTTTTTTTGCCTTTTTGAGACAGGGGTCTCCGTGTAGCCCCAGCTGTCCTGGAACTCACTATGTAGACCAGGCTGGACTTGAATTCACAGAGATCCACCTGCCTCTGCCTCCCAAGTGCTGGGACTACAGGCATGTGCCACCATGCCTGGCTCAAAACATTTTTTAAAAAAAAGAAAATTAGTGCTGGGTGTGGTGGCGCACGCCTTTAATCCCAGCACTTGGGAGGCAGAAGCAGGAAGATCTCTGTGAGTTTGAGGCCAGTTTGATCTACATAGTGACTTCTAGGACAGCTGGGGCTACAGGGAGACCCTGTCTCAAAAAGACAAAAAAAAAGAAAAAAGAAAAGAAAGAAAGAAAGAAAGAAAGAAAGAAAGAAAGAAAGAAAGAAAATTAGCATTTAGTGAGTTTAAAGTCCCTGGTCTCTGATTAGAAGCAGGCCACCATAGATTTGAGTGAGTGGATTAAATTATTGTGTCAAGCACAAATTCTGGAAGCAATCTCATAGTCCCTGGGCCTGTGGTTGTTTTGCAGATGTGGACGAATGCCAAGCTAGTCGATGTCACCCTGACGCCTTCTGCTACAATACACCAGGCTCCTTCACGTGCCAATGCAGACCTGGCTATCAGGGAGATGGCTTCCGATGTCTGCCTGGAGGTGAGTCAGGGTCATTAGGAGTTGGTGACCCATTGATGTGTCCATGAGATCTAACTGTATGGCCTGGAGAAAAAGGGATGTGGGGAACTGGGTCCATGGAAAGGTCTCAGAGTTCTACAGGTGCAAAATCAGACTGCAGGCTTCAGTGTAGAACCACACAGGGTGTACAATGCACAAGTCTAGGAGGCACCTCACAGGGGCCAAAGCTGTTCTGGAAATCTGGAATGCATTGGTTTCTGGGTACTGGAGCCAGCAGCCCAGGGTAAGAACTGGGCATTGGGCTTTATTAGCCAAGGTTCTCTAGAACAGAAACAAAAAGTTCATACATACATACATACATACATACATACATACATGCATGCATACATATATTCACATAGATGTATATATATATATAATTTATTATAAAAATGGAATCATTCATTATGGAGACTGTGAAATTCCAAGATCTGTTGCCAGTAAGCAGAGAACCCAAGAAAGCCAATGGCTTAGTTCAAGTTCAAGTTTGAAGACCATAGAACTGAGAAAGCTGATGGTAGAGTTCTAGTCCAAAGGTTAGCAGCCTAGAGAGGACATCAGAAAGCATCCAGGAAGGATTACTATTTAGTTTAATCACAAACAGGGCATAAATGATTTCTGGTTTGGAGGCTATCAGACAGGAAGAAGTCTCCCTCTCTCTCTCTCCCTCTCTCTCTCTCTCTCTCTCTCTCTGTCTTTTTCTATTGAGACAGAGTCTCACCGTGTAACTCTGGCTGGCCTGGAACTCTCTATGTAGACCAGGCTGGCTCACAGAGATCCCCTTGCTTCTGTTTCTCAAGTGCTGGGATCAGAGGTATGCACCACCATGCCCAGCCAGGAATTCTTTCTTAGTTAGAAGAGGGACAACTTTTTTTGTTCTGTTCATGCCTTCAAATGATTGGACAAGGCCTACCCACCTTAGGGAGGACAATCTACTTACTCAGTTTGTCAGTCTAAATATTAATGCCCTCTAGAGACACTCAGAATGATGTGACCAAATATCTGGACATCCTATGGCCCAGTTAAATTGACATAAAATAAACAGGCACTTGAGAGTGTTGGGGGATGGAACATGGGGTTGGAAGATGGGGTAAAGGGCCGGAGCTGGGAGAAGCTGCAACTGAGACCTGCACAGAGTGGTATTTTATTCCCTGTGGAAAGAGTCTGGCAAGGGTCTCTGTAAATGCTGTTGAATAATTGAGCATAACTGGCTGCTGAGCAGAGCCTCCTGTGTGCTGGGTGCATGTGTCTGCCAGCTTCTGGTCACGGGAACAGAGTGTGAGACAATCAACTTGAAGGTAGAAAGCTTTGTTTTGGTTCATGGTTTCAAACCATAGTCTGTTGGTTTTGCTGCTTTGGGCTTAGAATGAGGCAGAGCCTCGTGGTGGGGAGCGTGTGTGGAGCAAAGCCGAGTGCCCCACTGGCAACTGAGCAGTGCAAGGGGGGTGGCGAGATGGTAAAGGCACTTGAAGGCCAAGCCTGACAACCTGAGTTTGATCCCCAGAACCCACGTGGTGCAAGTAAGGAATCTACTACCACAGGTTACCCTCTGATTTCCATACTTGCACATACACACACATACTACAAAAACATGAAAAAAATAATTTCTGTCAAAAAGAGAGGAGGCACCAGCCTAGCCTTTTGTTTCTGAAATTATTACTTATAACTATAGCTCTGCCCACAGATTTTGATGGGCAGTATACATAAAGAAGAAGTCCTGGCCTTTTGAGTTGAGGGGGCTGTTCCCGCAGCTATTAAAACAACCAGCATTCATTATTTCCGTGGGCTGGTTTCACATCTCCAGTTCAAAGAGAAACAGATGTTTGAGTTTTTGTTTCTGTTTTTTTAAGCCTGACTCCTTGCTCTGTCTTTAAGGCTCTGTTTACTAAACAGAAACAAATCCAGACCTGTAGTCTGGAAGATGGGACCATGATATTAATTTGAGCTATTTGCCAAGATTGTCTTTTATCTTCTTCTCTGAAGACATTCAGCATGTGGTTATGTACCCAACAGAACATGCACTAGAAATAGACAAGAGTGTTTGTGTTTGTTATAATCAGAACCCTAAATAGCCATTGACGGGAAGAATGGACAGGTGACTTTTGATTCGATTCACACACTGGAATGGCAGGGCAGAGTGAAGGTTAACTAGAGCTAATGGGTGAGTCTCCAAACATGTCCAAAGTACTATGAAAGGGTACACACGTGTAGTCCCGTGTGTATAAAATATAAACCAGTGCGTGGGGCTGGAGAGCTGGCTCAGTGGTTAAGAGCACTGACTGTTCTTGCAGAGGACCCAGGTTCAAATCCCAGCACCTACATGGCAGCTAACAACCATTCATACCTCCAGTTCCAGGGAATCAAGCGCCCTCTTGTGTCCTCCATGGGCCAGCCTAGTCTACATAGCAAATTCCAGGCCAGCTGGGGCTACAGGGAGACTCTGTCTCAAAAAGACCAAAATAATAATAATAATAATAATAATAATAATAATAATGTGAAAATAAATGTGTGCGTGTGTGACATGTGCGTGCATGTAAGTGCATATATGGAAATGAGAAAGAGTAAGCTCAGAATAGACGTTACTTCTCGGGGATTAGGGTGGGGAGGTAGTACATGGACTCTCACGGTTTACTTAGACTGCTGTAACAGATTGCCATGAACTGGGTGGTTTATGAACAACAGCAGTTTGTTTCTCACAGTTCTGAAGGTTGTGAATTCCGAGATCTGTGAACTAGAAAATCCATTTTTGAGAAGGCCACACATGGAGGGCCGGATGTAGTTGCTTTTCTTATTCTGTGACAAAATATCTGACAAAGTAACGGAAGGAAGAAAAGGTCTATTTTGTACGATTGGAGGGTTCAGTTCCGTCATGGCTGTGGAGTGTGAGGCCGCCGGTCACATGGCATCCACAGACAAGAAGCGGAGAGATGAACGCTGGTCTCAGCTCACTTTCTCCTTTTTCCTCAGTCCAGGACTCTGGAATGATGCCACCCACATTCAGGGAGTTGGTCTCCCCTCTTAGTTAATCCTCTCTGGAAACACCATCATAGATATGTCCAGAGATGTGTCTCCTAGGTGATTCTAGATCTGTAGAGTTGACAGTATCAATCACCATAGCCCCCAAGTCCAACCAGGCCACATAGAAGCTTGGACGCCTCTCCAAGCTTGATGCCTGTGGCCCTCCAACCACTGTGTCATTTGCAAATTAGCAGACTCCTTGCTGAGCTCTGCAGCATTTTAAACCTTTCTTTTTCTTCCAAGTCCACTCCAGCCCCAGGGGCATCATGCTGAGCAAGTTCCCCAATACCCCAGCTTCTTTGTAAAAAGTATTTATTATTTTTATTTTATGTGTATGAATGTTTTGGCTGCAAGTACATAGGTGCACCTCGTATGTGTAGTGCCTGTGGAGGCCAGAAGATGGTGTTGGATCCCCTGGAACTGGAGTTATGGATAGTTCTTAGCCACTATGTGAGTGCTGAGAACTGAACCCTGGTCCTCTAGAAGGAAAGCAAATGCTCTTAGCCACAGAGCCATCTCTGTAGCCCCTACCCTGGCTTCTTGGCTTCCAGTTCTTCCTCTAGCCGCATCTCCTGGCCTCTGATCAGTCAGTCTCTGCACAAGGCCCCATGCTCACTGGGGATACCACAGGTTTGTCACTCTGATGGGTCAGCCACACCTGGCATTTCTTGCCCACCTCCCTGATGGAACTGGATGAGCTGTTCCTTCTGTTTCCATGGCAGCCACTTCCCTCCCTGTACTCCCTAAGAATGGGCCTCATCTTCCCTCCAGCCTGTAAACTCTGAGGCCTCTTCTGATTCCTGGCTCATGGCAGCTTCTTGTGGCATTTATAGTACAAATAGAACAGATAAGTGGCTCAAGCATCCCTGGAGCTCAGTCTAGGAGAAGAAATCTTCGTGTCTGGTGGCAACAGAGACAGCACGTAGACTGGAGGCTGCTTACTCTTGCTGGGTGTCTTATGCCTTTTTCTGTTTCCCTTCCTTATCTGCCCTTTGCTGATTGCTCATTCGTTTCCCCTGCCTGAGAACTGTCTTTCCCTCCCATCCCTGGGTACATGTTGGACAGGTGCTTAAAGAATTCACAAGTAGAAACATCTAGTACTATTACTGTAATTGGTCTTCTTAGGAGATCCCCATGGATACCAGGGTAAAGCACATGTTAGAGATACTGTCTCCTTTACTTGTGAATTCTCATTGGGAAGTATGGCTATCCTGGGCAAATATGTCCACTCAGCAGTGAGTGAGATGTAGCCAAGACAGCAGAGCCTGGGCACTTGTCGTGGCACTTGCATTTCTGTGGCCACAGGTGTGGGTCATGGTAGTGCTGGAGTGCACAGTCAGTGAGAGGCAGCTGGTCCCTACAAAGAGCTCAGGATCTGTGTAAAAAGTGACTGGAGAGATGGCTCTACTGCTCCTCCAGAGGACCTGACACCCACGTGGCAGCTGACAACCATCTTTAACTCCAGTTCCAGGGAATCTGACACCCTCTTCTGGCCTTCACAGGCATCACACACACAAGTGGTGCACTTTCATACATGCACACAAAATACTTATACACATAAAATAAAACTAATCAACAAAACCAAAGAAGTGACCAGAGGAATGGCACCTCTGCACGGTGTCCTTCTAAGTACACATGGGGCTTCCTATTGTTGCCCGTCTTGTCTCCAGAGAGGTTTGGCATTTCTTGCCCACCTCCCTCCCTCTACACCTTGAGGCTGCAATGCCGCTCATTTGACAGGGACACAAATGTGACCAGGCAAGTGAGTGGAATGCAAATTCAGATATTATAAATATACTATCTTTGCCAGGCATGGTAGCACATGCCTTTAATCCCAGCACTCAGGAGGCAGAGGCAGGCAGATCTCTGTGAGTTCAAGGTTCAAGGCCAGCCTAGTCTACATAGTGAGTTCCAGGCCAGCTGGGGCTACAGGGAGACCCTGTCTCAAAAAAGACCAAAAAAAACCAAATAACAAAAACCACACATATACTATCTTTTCTCTCTCTCCTCCTTTTCTTCCACTTTCTTTGCCCCTCTCTGGAAAAAAGCCACCCCAAACTTCCTTCCCTTACTCAGATATGCATCAAGAGCCCTAGTGTTTCCTCCCCCAGCGGAGCCAGCCAGATGGACAAGAAACAGCTTGCCTGAGATATCATTTTCCCATCAGAGACAAGCCCAGTAAATGTGTCTTCTGGACTGCACTGGCCCACCACATCCCCCAGGTCCTGGATACAACATTCCCCAGGGAATGAGTCCTGACTCCACAGGCTACTCCCACTGCCTCTTGGGTCCATGCTGGAAGACCCACAAGGTCATAACTTTCCATAAACATTCTTGAAGTTCTGTTTCCTGAGTCAGAATCTAGGTTTCCTCAACTTACACATTCAAGTCTTCCACTGTCTATTCCAGATGACTTGAGGTTTGACATGACAAATCCAAAAGTCCAGAAGGGAGCTAGAGAGGTAGCTTAGTGGTTAAGAGCATTGGCTGTGCTTGTGAGGACCCAGATTAGATTCTCAGCACCCACATGGCAGCTAACAACTGTCCTTAACTCTAGTTCCAGGGTATCCAACGCCTTCTGGCCTCCATGGGTTCTGCGTGACATGGGTGCACATACATACATGTAGGCAAAGCACTTATACACATAAAATAAAAATAAAATATTTTTAAAAAGGGATTTATTTTTAAGGCAGGCATGGTGGCACATGCCTTTCAGCACTCAGGAGGCAGAGACTGGCAGATATCTGAGTTTGAGGCCAGCCTGATTTACATAGTGAGTTCCAGGCCAAGCAGAGCTACACAGTGAGACTCTATCAGAAAAACAAAACAAAACAAAAGGGTTTATTTTGGCTCCTAGTTTGGGGGGGGGTTACATTCCATCATGGTGGGAGGGCAGGTCAGTGGGGCGGGGTCAGGGGGTGTGTGTGAAACTGCTGGTTACTTTTAGGACACCAGCCCTTCAGGGTGGGCCTAACCTCATCTGTCACACCTCTCGAAATTCTCTCACAGATACACCCAGAGTTGTATCTCCTAAGTGATTCCAAATCCAGTCATATTGACACCATCACCAGCACCATGAGGTACTGACATGAACACATTCACTGTGCATGAGCCAGCCTGACTCCTGGTGATGTGGAAACAGAGACTCAAGGCCAAGGGGGGCAGGGGCTGGGTCAGGAATCCAGAGACCTCAGTTGTAATTTGTAGTGAGTCACTTCCAGCTCTATAGCCCTGGGGGAGTTCTTCAACCCCTTTGATCTTACATTTTCTCTTTTGGTGACAAAACCAATATCCTGTCACACAGAGTTAGAATGGGCTTTGAATTAAATAGATCTGTGTGATTGTAGACAGGTAAGGAAACTCTAAACCCTGAACAAATATAAGGCTTTGAGGAAGAAAACAAGTTTTATGTCGAACAGAAAACAAAAACTAACATTTTGATTCTAACCAGATGGTTTATTCATATCTTTGTTTCACTCCTCAAATATTTTACTTTTTTATGTTGTCCTCTGGGACAAAAGAAAAGCTTACACAGTATTTTTCTTGCCAGAGTCAGCAAGCATTTTTCTGGCATGCTGTTTACAATTGAGGGAGCAATTGTGTGAAGCTGGCCAATGTGGGGATATTGGCAGCACAGACAACATACCTTAAATGTTCTTGGCTGTACACTGCCTGACTGTCACTGTGTCTGCCTTGCCTAGGTGCAGTCACAAGTGAATATTTGTATGCAAGAGCTGAAGGGTCCACCTGTGCGTATTGTCTACAGCTATAACAGAATACCAGAGGCTGGTAATTTATAAAGAATGGAAAGGTATTTGGCTTGTGGTTCTGAAAGCTGAGAAGTCCAAGGTTAACTGACGAGGGCCTCTTTTGCTGCCTCATAGCATAGAGAAAGCCTCATACAGGTAGTGAGAGCAGAGCCAAACATCCTTTTTATCAGGAATCAGCTCCTACAATAACAGCATTAATCCTTTCATGGATACAGAGTTCTCATGACCTAATTACTTTTGTGTGCATGCACACACATACACATGCATGCATACACCTCTGTGTATGTTTGTGTGGGAGCATGCCTGTGTATGGGTGAATGTATGTGCATTCATGTAGAGGCTAGCAGTCAACCTCAGGTATTGCTTCTTGGTCACCATCCACCACAGTGTCTCTCACTGGCATAGAGCCTGCTGGGTAGCCTGCTGAGCAGTGAACTTGAGAGATTCTCTTGTCTCAACCTCCTTGGTGCTGGGATTACAAGCATGTGTCACCACGCCCAGCTTTTATACATGGGTTCTGAGCTCAAACTCATGTCCTATGCACAGCACACAATTTATAGACTGAACCATCTCCCCAGCCCTTAATTACTCTTAAAGGTCCAACCTTTCCACACAGTTTCATTGTGTATTAAGTTTCTGACAGATGGACTTTGTGGGACATATTGAGACCACAGCACTTACCCTGGTGTTCTGGCTGGGAGACTAGATGCTGTTCCCTTCTCTGTACCTCCAAGAAGTAGGTAGCAGCTTGGTTAGTGTTATGCAGCTGCGTTAGCACTGTGTGGCTTGGTTAGTACCGTGTGGCTTAGTTAGCACTGTGCAGCTGGGTTAGCACTGTGTGGCTGAGTTAGTGTCGTGTGGCTTGGTTAGCACTGTGCAGCTAACCCACAGCTGGGTTAGCACTGTGTGGCTTGGTTAGCATTGTGGACTCACCCAAGGAGACACTGCAAGTGGCAGAACTGAGAACCCACTTTCAGACACAAAATTCTATAGATATGTAATATAGGTTGTCACAATACGTTTTACTAATGATTGTATGTTAATTCACATATATATGATTTCCCCCCTAAGAGAAGAAATCCTGTCCTTCCACCAGTATTGGTTACTATCAATCCTATAGACCAAATCTGGCCATTTCTTATTTGTAAAGGAAATTTTATTGGCACACACCCATGTCCATTCATTTATATGTCAAACATGACTTTTCTTCCTCTGCATCACAGATTTGGGTAGTTGAAATAGTTGGTGGTGTATGGTCCTCAAAGCCAGGAAGTTGGGCAAGCCTTGCCTGGAGCTGCTTCATCACAATCCCCTTGTCATCCAAACAGACCCATATGCACTCTTGTGCTCTCCTCCCTGTGGAAACTCCTCTGTGTGCCTCCTTTCTCACCTCCCTCCAGCTGTGGCTCCCTTAGGAGAGGTCTGCAGGTGGTTATGTGTACCCAGCTCAATCCTGTGTTCTCAGAAAAGATGGAGAAGAGCCAGTTTCTACCACCTGAGCCTGTTCAGGAGACAAACAGGAACAACTCCTTCAGGCCATGGGACCCTAGGGTCTCCCGTCTTAGGGTACGGAGTGGGCCATCCAGAGGGTCCAAGGAGCTCACCTGGAACATCGAGCCCAGCCCCAAGAGGTTGAGAAGTCTTCCTACAAGAAGCTAATGCCTCAGGTCATTCGTGGAGGAGTGGACCAGGCAAAGGAAAGGGGGCTGAGTGAGGGAAGTAGGGGGGCAGGGTGACACAAAGCACAACTTGTGGAAAAGTCTGGAAGGAAGAGGCAAATAAGACATGGATGGATAGAGCGCAGTAGGGTATGGAGGACAGACACCTTTTGCCAATGTCCATGTATGTGGCCATTGAGAGGTGACATTCTGGCCTGACTTCCATGGTGGCTGGATTCCAGCTGCAAACTCTGCACATCTGGGAGTTTATTCTAGGACAAAGCTTCCTTTAAAAAAAAAAACAAAAAAAAACAAAAAAAAAACAAGGTCTTACTTGAATTTTTAGTCTTTCTTCCCAAGTGCTGGGTCTACAGCCTACACCATAGCCTCGCTCCCTAAGCTTCTGAAGTAGAAACATTTTTCTTGCTTTGGAATCTGAGTTGTACAGTTTAGAGACCAGATTTCACGCCAGACAAAGGCCATGATTAAAAGGAAAAATGTAGAAGTCGGTGAGAGCTTTGTGGTCTTTGGTGTCCAAAGTCTTTGTCGGCGACTCAGTGTAGATCAACATGAAGCTTGAGAGAATAAAAAGGGAATTTAAGAAAAACTTAAAATGCCTTAGAGCAAAGCCCAACAGCTCAACGATGTCACATTGTGTGGGAAGACCATATTTGTTCGTCCACTGTCGAAGGGAGGGAGGACTGAGGGGCACTACAGTGAGGATGGGCCTGGAAGACCTTCTGCTGAGAGAAGTTATGTCAGACAGATGTAGGCCACATGTTGTATGATTCCGTTTGTATGAATTGTCCAGAATAGATAAACCCACAGAAAGGATGAAGACTGGGGGCCATCCGGGGCTGGGAGGAAGGGGGCACAGGAGCCACCTGCCCATTAGGCATGGGGTTTCCTTCGGGGTGATGAAAAGAGTTCAGATCTAAACAGAGACCATAGCTCTACGTCACTGCGAATATTCCAAATGCCATTTAATGTTAAAGTGGTTCATTTTATGTTGTACCACTTTTGCCTCGATTTCTAAAAATTTCATGAAAGAACTGCTTACGGAAGAGTATACGTGTGTAATTATGTGTTGCTGGCTTTTTTAGCTAGGGTCTCACGTAGCCCAGGCTAGCCACAAACTAGCTAAAGATGACCTTCAACTCTGATCCTCCTGCCTCCACCTCTGGCGTGTAGCACAACACCCAGTTCATGGACAGGACTGAATTCAAGAATTGGTGCCTGCCAGGCAAGCATTCTACCAAATGAGCCCTGTCCCCAGCCCTCAATGTCTTAAATTTGAAGAAATGAATAAAAGCCAGTGAGGGACAGGTCACTCTTGTGGTCCAAGCTAGGTGAGAGCTATTCTGGGCATATCATGTACATCTTGACTGACAGTCCCCTTTGTTTGTCACTGACAGAGGTGGAGAAAACCCGGTGCCAACAGGAGCGAGAGCACATCCTTGGAGCAGCAGGGGCAGCAGATGCACAGCAGCCCAGGCTCCTGGGCATGTTTGTACCCCAGTGTGATGAGCACGGACAGTATCTACCCACCCAGTGCCACAGCAGCACCGGGTACTGCTGGTGTGTTGACCGCGATGGTCGCAAGCTAGAGGGCACCAGCACCCCACCCGGGATGAGGCCGCCGTGTAAGTAGACGGCTGACACATGAGCTCATGGACCAGCATGACCAGTGCCAGCAAACGCTCTGCCAGGTCTCTCTGCTTGCCTGCCCTTGACTGTCCACCCACTGCCCTTTGCCTTCTTCTCTGGGTGTGTGTGCATGCACTTTTCCTTCTCCAGGCACACACATGTTCTGTGCAAATCCCCGTCAGGGCTTGTGGCAGGAAGGATATGGAGGGGAGACCTGGCCTTGGACTGCTGGGCTTGGGGACAGGGCAGGGGTGCCAGGGTTTTGTTTTTTTTTTATGAGATAGGATCCCATGTTGGAAGCTGGCCTTGAACTACTATATGGCCAAGTAGCCAAAGATGACCTTGACCTTCTGATCTTCCTGCCTTCACCTCTCAGATGCTGAACTGTAGGTATGCTCCACAACACCTGGCCAACTCTCCTTTTAGAGAGCTGGGGAGAAGCCCAGGCCTGCAGGCCTGGCCAGCCTGCTATAGAGGCTATGCACCCCACCTCAGGGCTCTTCTGAGGAAGTCAAGGAACCAACCAGGGTCACAGTCAGCCGATAAGAGGCAAGTCCATATCAGAGGATGGATGAGCCCCTGGCCAGCCTGTTGGTCTTGAGCTCCTGGGTGAATGTGTTTCTGCTCGTCAAGTTTGAGGCCACCCATCCCATCTCATGGCAATGGGCAGGGTATGCAAGTGTCCTCATCTGCTGGGTTCCTCTATCCATCATTACAAAGACTGCAGGCAGGTGTTAGGGCTGCGGCTGCTCTGATTCCCACCTCAGCCCAATGTTCAGTCAGAGCATGAATCACCAAGTCATCGTATGAGAGGGAGGAAGGCAAGCCAGGCTCTCTTCCCCACTGGACCTTTAATACTAACTCATGCCCATATCTTCTTCACACTGCCCCTTGACTGGATGCAGGCTTTCTGCCCTGGAGTTTCCAGATAGAAAATGGGCATTGTGTGGTTGGCTGTGCAGTTTCATGTTGTATATATGACGCAACTTCTGATATGGGCACTACGTAACTGTGTGCATATGCACACTCACACATATATTCATATGTGCTTATGCACATGTGTATGTGTGTGCTCTCACATACATCCATGGATGTATCTACATGTATGTGCATGTGTGTGAGTATGGGCACTTGTACATTTTTGGTATTCACAGCCCTCACTCAATCGTCTCTTGCCCTCTAGGTCTGAGCACCGTGGCTCCTCCAGTTCACCAGGGACCTGCACTGCCTACTGCTGTCAACCCCCTGCCCCCAGGGACCCACTTACTGTTTGCCCAGACTGGGAAGATTGAACGCCTCCCGCTGGAGGGCAACAACATGAAGAAGACAGAAGCCAAGGCCTTGCTCCATGTCCCTGTGAGTGCCAGCTGATTGGCCCTGGTGACAGCACCAGCTCCCATGGCCTGGGTACCAAGATAGTTAATAGCTGTGTAAAATATACTAAGTGTAATATAAGATAGTTTGTATAATACAGCACAGTATAATAGCAAGATAGATAGTAGTTATATTTATAATGTAATCTGATGTAGTATAGATTTATAAATATAATGTCAATTTAATTGACACTCTACATCTAAATAAAGTATAAAGGCATAACACATTCCTATTTAGAAGATACCATAACAAACTGAGAAGTACAGTTCTGTGATCTGAAGTTCCTTGTCTGTTCTGCAAGCTTGGCCTGGCAGACAAGTTTATTCAGAACCACTCTGAAGATACTTTCTCCTGATTTCTTCTAGGAGCTTTGTAGACTCAGCTTTTGATTTTTGCCTATGGAAGGAGGTCAAGTTGAGCATTTTCTCTGCTACAGTTGAACAATGTAAAGATGTGAATGGAGGGGCTGGAGAGCTGGCTTAGCGGTTAAGAGCACTGACTGCTTACAGAGGATCTGGGTTCAATTACCAGCACCCACATGGTGGCTACGAACCATCCTTAAGTCCAGTTCCAGAGGAATCCAAAGCCCTCTTGTGACCTCCGCGGCATTGCACGACATGGGTGCACTCACATACATGCAGGCAATATACTCATACACATAAAATAAAAATAATAAATAAAATATTTAGCCAGGCGTGGTGGCGCATGCCTTTAATCCCAGTACTTAAAACAGAGGC